GCAGCCGCTGCCTGTGCCTTAGTTAGATTTATTTGGCGCGTGGGCCCCTGCCAGCGGCACAAGAGTTCAAGGACATGCCACACAGGCCGGTCAAGTATTCAGGAAATGCTGTAGATGTGTGGCTCAGGCCCTTCAAGCTAATCAAATGGCATCAAATGCCAGGCGTATCGATTAGATTCTCGGCTATTTATAAAGCGCATCGCATCACTTTCGTTACTATATTTGTTGATGTTGTTGTCTCGATGTCGCCGTCTCGCCTGGCGTCGCTCAATCAAACGCAATCGCAACATAAACATATCGCCCGATCGCCATCTATATATAAATATTAATGTCAGCCTTAATGTCAACAATTTGCAATGCATCAAGCGCCAGCTGCACATCGATGCTCGCCTCATTCTGCCGGCTTCGCGCTGTAAATGGCGCACACTTTGTTTCAAATTAATTTTTATGGCATTATTTAAACTGATTTATTGCTATAATTTGCACAATTCTCACAAAATAAATATAAGAAAATCAAACTAAAATTGCAGAAGTGTTAATTATGAGCAGCGCATGAAATATGCTCCGATATTTTCAAATATGTTCCTCTAGCTAGCTATACATAGAATTTGGAATAGTATGTGGAATGGTATCAATTGGGAAAACATTTAAAAGTATTGGAAATTTCCAGTTTTTTTTTTTTTTAAATTTTTTTGTCTATTTTCATATTCATTTCAGCTAGTTTTGTCTTTAATTTGAAAATCTTTCTTATTTGATTAAATGGAATTGAATTGTATTGAAGAATTCTTGCTTTGTTTATGCAAATTAATTTTTTTGCCACTGTTGGCCAGCAGAGCGAAATAGTTTATCTATTTATACAATTTTGTTTATTGACCCTAGCTAAAGAAATCAAAGAATTTAACTGGCGCAATTCAAGTGGAAGCATAAAATGCAAAAAATTCCAAGATGCCTAAGCGATTAGCTCATAGCCACATATGTTTCGATGTTGGCCACATCTGGGCTGCTGCTGCTGCTGTTGTGGCTGCTTATCTAATCGTAGCTTACTTATCTGTATCTAAGCATTTGCGCAATTAAAGTAAAAAGATGAAAAAGCAGGTGGCCCAGGTGCCGGACGCCGTGTGGAGATGAGGTAAATGTCATGCTATTAGCAGCAATTGCAAATTAATAAACGTGTCTCGTGCGGCACTGTCAAGGACAACAAGGACTCACGCACACACACACACACACAAACACACGCGCGCACACACATATACAGAATTAGTCAACGCCCACGCAACGTTGACAAACGCGCGGCCCACTTAATAGAAAATGTGCCACAGAAAGTACTTAATCGGGGTGGAGGGGTGTGTGGCTGGGTTAGGAATCGGAGGCATCATTCAAGGTGGTTGCGTGGGCACCATAAAAAAAAACCCATAACAATTTGCAAGCGTATGAAAAATGTATGTGAGGCAAACTTTAAATTCATTACACACACGCAAAGTTGGCTAAGAGCGAGACGGCACGGCTAATGCCGGCGCGTGCGAGCGAGTCGGCGCAAGCTGGTGACAACCTCAAATGGGCAGGGCCAGGATACAGGCGTGTGCCCAAGTAAGTTAGCCAACAGTTTGTTTAAACTGCGGTCACTAAGCACGCTCGCTGCCCAGTCAAACTTTATGTAATCAGCTCAGTAGTGTTTTTATCAGATAAAGAAATCATAATATAAATTTATGTAAATGAGGCTTATATCATGCATAATTCAAAACCAAAATATTGATCTGCACTGAATTTGTAATTGAAAATCTCATGATCTTGTCACACGATTCCGACTGGGCTATTTGTGTGTGCGTTTTTTTTTTTTTGCAATTTCTCTAACTGTTTGTAAGTTGACCTGGCTACAGCCGTGCACAGTCGCTCCCTCTAGTGCCTCCCTCTGCAGTTTAGTATCTAAAATGAAACGAAAATTTCGTGCCTCGGTTCTATTTACGCTTTTATCTCTGCGTTCCACTTGTTCGGCCGCTGCCGCCTTTGAGCCTATGTTTTTTGTGCCCTGCTAGCTTTTTTTTGGGCTAAAATTTGTATTTCGGCAGTTTGTTCTATTTACTGGCTCTGCTTCTTGGGCCATCATTATGTGTGCTTCGTGTTAACCTTGGCCCAAAAGCATTTAAAGCGTGCCAAGTGCCAAAAAACACAAAACAAGGAGCGAAGCCAAACTGGACACGGCACACATTACGGGCTGGCCCACATTTTAAATGTGCCAACTGGCAACTAAAGTGCCCCAGCCAAATGAAGCTGCCAGCGCAGCCAAATCCGAGCCAGCTTCCAAGTACTTCTTTTCTTCTTCTTCTTTTTCATGTATGTGTGTGTGCGCGAATTCCTGGGCTTCGCTTCGCATAACGCTGCTCGCCATTTCCTGTTGCTCCACGAAGCTGTTGCATTTTTTATGCCATTTCTTATTTCATTTTTACTTTTATGCTCTTTGCAAATTGTTGTTAGTGTGTTGTCCCTCCACTGTCCCTGCCCCTGCTCCTGCCGCTGCCCCAGCCCCTGCTCCTGCCCCTGCCTCTCCCCCTTCGTATTTCCATTTGCACACAAGTTTATCATATTGTCTTCTTCCACTTTTTTGCCTGCTTTTATTTTGGTTTGGTTTATGCCTAGCTCGTATTGCTTGTTTGCTTTCATTTTTTGATACTCTACACTTTGTGGTTTATATCAAAAAGTTGAGCAAATACCTGAAACGTGGGGCAGATAAGCAGCTTGTTGTCAAGATATTTATGTTAGACTAACTGCAGTTAAAAATAGAGTCTTACCCAAAGATAAGGCCAACACCAATCAAACTAAAAATCTTTTTATATTATCTATATCTCTTGAGTTGTTTCGCTTTCTTTGCAAGTGTATTTTGAATTCGCTCTTTTGCAACTTCTTTTTGCTCTCTTTTTTTGTGCATCTGGCATTCTTTTGATTGTCCCAAGTTGAGCCAAAATTTTAGCCGGCGAATGTTTTTCAGCATTCGCATGCCTCCAACATTTGTGCAGGGCTTTATTTTCCTGTTTGCCGACAACTGCCAAAGCAATAACCAAAAAAAAAATAAATACATATATATATGTATGTATGAAAAAAAGAAAACACACTCGAATGTATTTTTAGTGTGCTGCTAAATATCTAAATATATGCGCGTTGCGGGCGAGCACCTGAACGCGCGTAGCCTGGTAAGAAATGTGCCGTCGTCTACTTTTTTATTTATGAACCACCGAAAGCAACGACGTGTTCGCCATTTGGCTACGGACGGAACGACCGACCGACCGTCCAAGCGACCGTCCCTATCTTTGCTCACATTGCTGGGCGGGGAGGCAGCAGGAGGAGTTGCCACTGCTGAAGGTCATTTCGAGTTTTGGGGAGCTGCCTTCCAGCGGCGACACTTAAATCGATTTTGTTTTTTTTTTGTTTTCCTTTTTTTTTTTGCTACCTGGAAGCCGCGTAAGCTTTGGACACACTCTGTCGACTTATGAATATGGAATGCATATGACGCAGCTACGCAGCCAGCAGCAGCGCTAAATGTGCTTTTGATTGACAAAATTGTGGCAAGGACAACGGCTCATTGTAGCCGGCGACGTTAATTGATGAGCCAAGGATTTGGGCATAAAGAGCGTGAAATCCACATTGAAACTTCAATTCAATGCAATTTTGTTGTGTCATCTTTGTCCATAGCTGACAGCTCATTAATAAACGGATTTTAACCTATATATATATATATATATGTATATAGACCACCATGTACTGGAAAATTTAGTGTTGAGCCAGCTACTACTGTCCGGGTCCTTTGTTGACGTGGCTAATCTAGTACATAAATCTACTGTTTTATTAACTCCACTTCAAGGCGATCAAACAACTGGATGGGGGAGACATCGTGTAGTTAAGTGTGGCCTATGGGGAGTGTGAAGTGGGGAGTGGTTCAGCTCTGCTGCTCGCTCCAAACAAAAGGGACAGCCCATTTCGCACTTATAATTAGAGTGTGTTTGCTAGTTGCTTCTGGTCCAAGAAAACGACACAGACAGAAGTTGGTGAAATTTTCGAAACTTGTTACTTGTTACCATGTGAATTAGAGCCCAAATAATAATTACACACAAAGTCTTAAGTATAGCTTTAAAAAATTAATAAATAAAGACTGTCAAAGCAAATTGGCTGTCTCCATGTTAGATTCTTTATATATTTTTGCTTTGCTTTGTTTTTTTAATTGTTTTTACTTTTTTATATCTAATACAATTTTTTTATATTGATTATTTTTTCTTAATTTTCATTAATATTTTATTTAAATTATTTAATCATTTTAATTAATTTATAATTTTTTATAATTTTCTAATGATTCTTATCATTCGTTTAGCTTCCCAAGATTTCCTAGTTTTCTTTTCTTTTGAAAAGATATTTTTGTATTTTTTATCAATTAAAACTTTGCTGCAGTCTTGGAAATGTAAATGAAATTCGTAGAACAATTTGAAACTATGCCGGTTATGCCTTATAAACTGCATTGTTTATAACTACGAAGCCAATTAATAACATTTCATTCGATTGAAATCAGGTAGCATTACCAAAGCAAAAATCTTATTAACTCGAATTTCTGAAAATTTCGCCTTTACTCTGCTACAGTTTGCTTACGGTTTTATGTGACAGTTTCCAGGAATTATTCGCTGATAGGTTAAACTCAGCACTGGCAAAACTATTCAGATTACGAAAATATCCATAAATTTATAATATCTTGCATAAATATAGTTTTAATTATAGTTGAAAAAAGTTCATTTTTGCAATGTCTGACTCTTTTGTCAGCTGGATGCTAATTTGCAATGATATAACAATTTGATTTGATGCCTCAGCTGTTTATACTTCTGTTAATAAATCATTTTGATTGCATGACAGTTTAATACATTTTACTTTTGTGTGTAACATTTTGATGTACTTTAGTATTTTGTGTTTTTAGTAAAATTAGTTATTGGGAAATAGGTTTTGGATAGAAATTGTGGGATACTAACCTTTCGTAATTCCAGCTCAGGGGTCTTGACACCAACAGCAAATATTTGAAAACAGTCAACAGAGAAAAAAGTTGTTTCTTTTACTTTTGCTCTTCCAATTTCTTGGCACAAAACACAAAACAATTTCTCGATTTCAATTTCTATTTTACCGGCAATTGGCAACTGACAATTGGCCGTAATGGAGCCAAAAACACAATTCTAAATTCTAAATTGTCGTACTCGCGGGCAAATATTGAAACTCGATATTAATGTTGGCCAAATGCACAGATCTGGCCAATTGGCGTTGGCTAGGCGCGAACTACTGAATTAGCCGCACAAGAAGACACCAAGTCGTTTATTTTTTTTTCTCTTATAGGCAGCGGCGTCCGACTAAAAGGAGGCGTGTTGCCAATTAATGAAATGAATGTGAAATGAATGCACTTCCCATGCCCTTTTGGTTAGTAGAATTTTTGTCGTTTTTAACGGCTCTTTTGAAGTTCGATTCGATTCTGTTTTGGTTGGCTCGTTGGCCGCGCGCACGTTCGGCCACAGCGACTGTAAAATTGCGACTGTTCGCCTAGCAAACGTAAACGCAAACGCAAAGCCAACCCGAAATGGCAGACGCCAGCGGCAAGTCGATGCGGCAATACACTAACTACTCTGTGGAGACAATCTATATATACAATCATGCTGTGGTCATGAAAATAGCAGTGCGACTGAGCACTAAACGTTGGACAATACAATTTAGTGTTAAGCTAAATATTTTGAAAACAATTTGAAATTAATATAAATATTAAAATATTATGAGAAAGAAAAATGAAAAAAAAAAAAAAAAACTATTTAACATTAGTCTAACTTCATACATTATGTTTTACATTTATTTTTAAATGTGTATATATGATTTGATATATAATCATGCTGTTGATAGTAGTTTGTGTAAGAGTGTATTAATCTAATATATGTTTATTATATTAAAATAATACACTTATATTGGTGTTCATAAATATTTAACATAATATATATATACATATATACATATATAGTATGCATACATCATTTAATATTTAAACTATATTTAAGTACTCTTCAAATTCAATTCTTTGCAAAAGAAACAAGCAATTGTATTTAGTGTATAAATACAGTGCTAAACAAATATATATGTTTACTCTACGCACTCAAAGAGCACACTCACACACACACACACTCATTCACATATTTTTGTTATTCTCTTGTGTTACATGTTTCGCTAGAATTTCTTAAGACCTTCGGCAAGGGCATAACTCAGCCGGCTCCAATGTTGACGTTGGCAGTATTGCTGCTGATGCTGTGCTGTGCTCTCTCGTTCTCACTCGCTCTCACTGGCGCTTACGCTCGCTCTATTCGAATTTGCCGGCTTCGTTGCTTATCAACATGTTGCAGCTGTCTTTATTTGGTTTTTTTTGTGTTTGGTGATTTTTTGGCGCGCGCTTTCAAACAAAGTTGCAGGGCTCCGCGACGTTTTTGTTCTTTTTCCTCGACTTTTTGACGTTGAACTTTTTGGTGTTATTTTAATTTTGGAATTTTAATTGGAACTGTATGCGATTTATAATTTATAGAGTTTATTTTTTAGCTGCGTCTGCTGCTTATTTATAAACACATTAAAATTTATAGTGCTCGAACCATTTGTGGCAGATTTTTGCATGAGATCAGCGGAGTCTAATTTATGTGTTTCCATAGGCAACGCTGTCGTGCGCTGCTTGCTCTAATATATGCTTAAAACAACAAATAGTTTATAAATTAGCCACAGTTACTTTCGCCAGCAACATATACTGCCGTGGCCCAATAAATATTGCCAGCACTCTTATAAAATGCTAATGAATATCTGTAGTATTTATGTTTACAGAGAGTTGAGCTGATATAAAAAGCTTGTTCTTACCTAAGAATTGTTCAGTTATATTGTTTATTTCTTAACAGGCTAAAAATATACTGATTTATATTTAATTTGTTTCCTTTTTTCTCCCATTTATTTATATTTTTGTTTTCGTTATTGCCTAACTTTCTTCAAGCTCAGCCTAACTAATCGCGCGCAACAATGTAAACAAAAGCTTTAGCAACTTTTGCAACTTGTTGCTAAAGTGCTTCATAGTTAAGAACTTGTTTCTGGGACTGAAGCATAGCGCAAACTGAGCTCAAAGAACAACAAGACAAGTGTGTCAAGACTAGGGAACAGGCAAAACGTTAAATAGCCAAGATAAATAAGAAATTTGCTAGAAACTTTGAAATGTTAGAAATGTATGCAAATGTAAGCAGAAGAGACACAAAAAGAGCCAAGATCAACTAACTACATTAGAATATGTATATATATGAATGTCACATATATATAGATTAGTACATATATATTTTGTTTCTTAAACCAAGCATATCAATGAAATATAAAACGAAAACAATTTTGATTGCTTACTCGAGCCTGACCCATTTAGCTTTATTGACAGAGACATTGAAGTGGCTGCTGCGTGGACAAGTGGATAAGTGGAAAGACTGGACATTGAAGCTCTCTGACAATAATATATATATATATATAATCTGTTGCATTTATGAGCCAAAAAAGTAAGCAATTTGAAAATTTGTTTACATTGTGCAACAATTACAATTGGCAACAATGTTGCACGCATAAATGTTGCCAATGGCAAAGGCCTGCTCGAAAAAATGTCTAACATTAAGTAAACAGATATATATATATATACGCGTATGTATATGAATTGTTGTACGAAATGTAAACAGAATATTATTATTAATAAAGTGTGGCCAATTGAGGCCTCGCACAGCCAAGTAGTTGGAAGTAAAGAGCTGTTTAATCGAGCAAATAACGAATGCAAAATGAAATAGATGAATTTATGAATCAGTTATACAGGGTGTCCGCATGAATGGCAGTGCTATAAATAAATGTGACAACAGTAAAACGGTCCACGTCGACGTCATCGTAATCAAAACCTAAAACCGGTGGCCAGATGACGACAAGTGGTCAAGCCAGCAGCAAGCAACCAGCAGCAATTGCCCAGCTGCGGGGGAGCTCGACAGCCAGATAGAACAGCATCTGGGGCGTGGGCTGGCAGCATGCGCTGGCATTGAACAAATGGCGCCAACTTTAAAAATAACAAATACAAGCATTACAAGATGTTCTAATATATTCAACATTTGTTCAACCAGCAGAGATGAACGAGCGATACAAATTACAATTTGATAGTTTTTTAGTTTTTCACTTTTCGGCAAGGCCAAGCAGTTGGTTCACGCTGATGGCATTGATTCATTTGGGACGAAAGGGCAGGCCAATTAATTTCTAGAAATATATTACAGAATTTTGCTCTGGCATTCTCTCTGCTCTTGAACTTGCGCAACTCTCGTGTCTGACTGCCTAATTTATTACAATCAAATGATTCTGTGGGGCCTACGCACACGTTTTTCCAGTCAAAAGGTCAGCTGTCAATACTGATGTATGTCATATGTCATTTAAATGCTCAACTGTTATCAATCAAAGACATGAAAAGCAAGCCAAAAAGTATGCATTGAACTATAAATTTAAGGATCTCTGTGATCTGATGATGAATTCCAACTAAAGTATGTGCTATAATATCCCATCGGGACTGGCCAGATGTGCGAAACGTTTTACATTTTTCGCACATAGCAAGAGCAGGCGAGCAGCCACTACATACATTACACATATGAAACTCTGATCCACCCAAAGAAAATTCAAGAAATATATGAGAAACTAACATAAACGGAATGCCTGAACATTATAAATAAACATGTATTCTAGTTTGCATGCTCGCAGCAAGTTTAATGCGATACGCAAACTTGCACTTGTTGCTACACAACAGACATTATATGCCACACACGCCCACCAACTGCTAGCCACACACCCACAGAGGCACAGACATGTCCAGGCAGCTGATGCGATCTACAGCGTGCTCCATTTCTGTGTGTGCATGCCGAATTGGCCAAAATGCGTGGCAGTCATAAATCGGCATATAAAATATGATTTTACTAAGTTTGCGGGAACGGCAGCAACATGTGTGCGCCTACTTTGTTTTCCCCAGCTGAAGGTCACGAATTGCATGTATTTCGTGTTCCCAGTGATTCAGCGTCTCGGCCAGAAAATCTGCCCAGTGAGTAATTGAATTTTATGGCTATGCAAACGAGCAATGAAAATTTAAGCCAACAGATGATTAACACAGCGAACAGCTAAAAACTGAAACTGTGTGCCAGAAAAGAAAAGCACATAATATTTAGCGGCGTTTAGCATTTGCGCCGCATATTTTATAATTCATTTTTTTAATTAAAATTATATTTGATAAGAGTTTCACTCGGAACACACACATAGAGCTTGAAGCTTGAAGCTTGGAGCAGACGCGTCTAAAACGTCACTTAATTGGTTTTCGTTGTTGTTCGCCGATTGGCGCTAATTGAAGGCAACTTGTTGAGCGACTAGCTTGGCCACAGTGAAGCCTGCAGTCTGAAGACCGCCGACTGCTGCAGACACCGCAACTGCCAGTGGCAGTAAACAAACTTTGTCATTCGCTTCGAGTGGCCTTCACAAAAAAAAAGAGAAAAATTATGCGTACAACAGAGGAGGAGGAGATGGTGCGAGAGCAGGGAAGTGGAGGCACTGCATCATGGTAAGGGGCAGTCTTGGTGTCTAGCTCGTTCAGTAGGCTCCAGTGCACTAATTGATTTTCAATATATTTTTGGCATTCACTTGCAAATGCTGCCCGAGGCTTGAAAACTTATTCGAAAAATATTGCAACAAGCTAAACGATTTAGTGTTATGAAATCAGTTTACAGCTTGAACTAACAAGAATTTACAGCTCGAACGAATTTGAACTGAAAAAAGAAAAACTAAAAACTCTTTAATGAATTGTGCCGAATTTTTGTACAAAATGAAGACATCCAATTTAATTGTCACTTAACATTGGGTTCAAGTTCAATTAGACGGCATTATTTGAACGAAAAGATTAAAAACAAATGATGTATGTAAAATATACACTTCTTATGGCTGCCAAGGGCGGAGAGAGAAGAGATCAAAATACAGAAATTCACATCAAGTCAAGCAACTCAAACAAAAACAAGATAAGAATACACGGAAGTTTTTCTTATCTAATAAAAGTCTAGATAGGGATAAGGCTAGAGATGTCTCATATATATAAATAAATTATTTATATACTTATAAATATATAAATATCTATAATGAACAATACCTTTGTCGTAGGTGATGCAATAAATACTATATAGCTGAGCATTAGTCACTCAGAGTTACACAAAACGAACATCGAATTTACGTCCTGTGGTTGGGAATTCATTCAACATGACTCAAATGTACGCCATTATATGCGGCTGCGTAAAAGTGACTCAGTTGAAGAGATCTATTTGGACCACCCATCAGAATCCAATTGAATTTACCAATTTATTATGTGCTCACCAGGCAAGCTATACAAATCGAAATGGTAAAACTTTCATTTGATTGGCTAATTAATCAACTATTTAGCTCATTAGTAAAATTAGCTGGCACAGAAACCAAAGCCGATACACAGCTGCTATGCAAATGGAAATTGGCCGCAAGCTGGCTATAACACGTATACGCCGCATTGGACAAGCCTCCAAATGCACCGCCCCCGCTACGCAGCGAGTGAAATTCCCGCACTTCGCGCAAAATAATTGCGTTTTGCTGTTTCGTCTTTTTGGCGGCTCAAAGCGCATTAAAGATGCAAACGAAGTCGCAGCCGCAGAGGCAGTCACAACCACGAATCGTGTCAATGACACATTGTCCAAAAGCCAACAGCACCGACAACAACAAAAGTAACCACAACTGCACCACTGAAGCCAGCAACAGCAAAGCATAACTGTCAAAGCCGCATAGCAATCGAGGCCCAAAACTGCGCCTAGACTCTCTTCTTTTCGGTGGCAGTGGAAACCTATTGCCTTTCCCTCGTCATCTTTCTCCCTTTTCCCCACCCCTGCACCCCCTAGGCCTGTTCGTTGGCACCTTACCAACTGCAGTTCCATTGCCATTGCCATTGGCCCAATTGACTTGCCAATTCTTATGAATATTTAATTTTATGCTTATGCTCATGTTTGCTTTATGGTAATCAGAGATTTTGCCCAAAAATGAAAATGAAAATTTCATGTAAGTGTCGCACAGTGGAACATACAGTGGAAGCATACGAATGAAGGGCAAATTTAAAAAAAAAATTAACAATCTGCAAAACTCAATTTTAAATTGTTATTTATGTGATTTGATTAAGCACAGTGGAACGAAAGAGTGTGAGCGCAGGAGTTCTATATAGAAATATTTAAAATAATTGTTCTAAGCACAGTAGAACACAAACATAAGCTCAATAATATCTTTAAAAATTTAAATATTAAATTATTTTGCTGTTTCAGTTTAAATTTGGAGCCAACTTCTTGTTTGAGTTTGCCTTTCTCAAGTCAAATATTTTAATCAACTTTCTTCGTCCTTTGCTTCACTGTGCACTGTGTTTATTTGAACATGTGAGGCATATATACATATACATATATATATATATATATATATATATATATATTTCGGTTGCACTTTGGACTTTGGTGCTGTTATGCAAATGCTTAAAAGGTTGAAATTGGAGAAAAAGCATTTCGTGCAGTCCGGGAACAGCTCTGGGAAGCACTGGAACAAGAAAGCCACAGAGAGAGTGAGAGTCCAATAAAAAGCAAATAAAAAGTTCAATTGTATCAATTTGGGGGCCAGTACATTTTTGTGCGAATATAAATTAAAAGCGCGGAGGCCGTCGAATTGAGTTTCTGTGTGGGGACAGGAGAGCGAGGCTCCAACACGAACAGGCGAACAGTTGCGACCGGCTGGCAGAGCTCATCAATCATAACCATCAATCAGACGTGAAGAGCAGACGCAAGAAAAACGAAAAGAAAAAGCAACTTTGAAGTCGGCGGCGCGAGCCATAAAATGCAAAACGAGGAAGAGCAATTCCGTGTTCCATTTAGAATTGCCCATGGAACAGCTCAGTAAAGTCAACAAGATATGTGTGAGCTGTATGTATATGGCAATGCGATGCAATAGATCAGCAGACAAATCCTTGTTCCCACAACAATTTAAAAATTGCAATGATCTCAGACCACTTTGGCGAATTTCTTTTTATTGTTTTGCAAAATATTTCTGACAATTCTGATTCACATCAAGACATCGGTGTGAAAGGCAAAACTATATCATTTACCTGCAATGCGCTTCTCGGAAAGTGGCCTAGTGCCAAAAGAATGCGCCAAAATAGCGGAAATAAAATTTAACAAATTAATCTTAAGCGGTTTGAAAAGTTTCAGATTTTCAATTCTTAAACTTTTTGCAAAATGTGTGAATGATTGAACAATTGCCTATTGAACTATATATATTTATATACCAATCTATTGTTCTATATATATATTTATATATTTATATAAATACCTAGCTATCAACTATGTAGCGAAATATCTACATACATTTAACTTCACTGAAGTACCTATCTGTGTAACTATTTATGTATTTATTTATCTGTGCACGTATCTTGCATAGATGTATATAACGTTCTCTATCTCGATCTACCTCTCTATAAATTTTTCATCTATATACTAACCTATCTCTTTATCTTTAGACTCTCCTTCATATGCTTATCTATCTATGCATCGGTCTATCTAAAAATTTTGTATTCAATGCTAAAATAATGAAATTTGACTTTGAATTTGGCACAACTCTTGGCTGTGCCCGTTTTGACCTCAGTATGGCCAGTTCAACTTTGAAGAGTTCTCAAAATGTTTGAAGGTTTTAGCAAATTGCAAGTTCAGTTCGGTTCCCAGAATTTTACAGGCAACCCATATGCATTCTGGGTCAGCCGCGCACCGCACAACCAATTGGCACGCCCCCATTTAATTCCGTCTGGGCGCTGTCTGTTACCTCATTAATTAAAGCCTCTGTGTGTGAGATTTTATATGCAACGTTGTGTGCGCTTTGGCAGGCGTGCAATTATGTGTTCATACGCTATTTTTAAGCATTTACGGTGAAAGGTCTTTGGCAGTGTGTCACAGCGAATAAACAATTTGAAAGTGAGACCGAGAATAAGCGAAAGCGAGAGTGCGAGCAAGCGAGGGAGAAGTGGGGAGAGTATGCAGGCAAATCACACGTTCTAGTCGCGCGACTGTTTTCATTATGAAAAACTAGAAGCTATTCACATTTTCTATTTTATATCGCCCTAAAGATGCGTTGATTGAAAAATGCTTAGCACATGTCATGACAATCATTACCATATGCAGTAGCTCCGATGGCCGACAGTCGACAGTTTCACACGTATTTCAAAAGATGTCAGGCATTAAATAAAACACGTCATTTGTATCATTAAGCCATTATTTCCGCCAATTCCAGAGACCCAGTTCATACATTTTTTCATTTGTCATTTGTCAAGAGCTGTGATGCTGGCTGGCTCTGGCTGTGACTGGAGCTATTCTTTGGCGACAGAAGACGCGCGCATGGCACATATATCGCATATCAAGTGACATTCAATGATTCTGGCTCTATCATTTGTGAAATGACATCATGAAGCGACTTGTGGTCATGCATATTTAGCGCCAGATCGCATTCAATGACGACGTCGCAATTAATCACAATCGCTGTCTACCGAGGCGGGGGACGAACACAAAAAAAAAAAACAAAATAAACCTCAACGTCAATTGCAATTGGTTGCAAATGCTAGGCAAGTATTACCACCCACACACGCACACACGCACACACACACACACATGTAAGAAGACTGGGTGAATGATATAGCATGCACTGGCACAAGTGGAAATTTGTATATATTAAAGTATGGGTGACTGAACGTTGTGGAGGGGCACAAGTCAATCACAATCATTTGGCAGTCTATATGATGAGCCGATGTTAGCTTAATTACAGTTACTTTGGTGCTGTTGTTGGTTTCGAATGCATCACACAGTTTAGTCACTACTCGAAATGCTTATCCTTCTTGGCGCCGATATATAACACCGACCAGGACTTGTCCGGCATATCAATGTCCATTTTTTTCGAATTTACACTATGATAGGACACATTTAATTATGTGCTGCAATTCTATTAACAGTATTCACCTGGTTTCAGAGTTTACCAACCGATGACGCTGATGCAATGGAATGCAGGTTTGCTTAGGAGAGGGCTTCAGATCGAGGCACATTTCACTGGTCAAGGAGTTAATGACAGCAGCAGCACCGGTCGCCTCAGAGCCTTCGCCTCCGCACTTCTCAACATCAAACTGTGAAGACATATTCTGGCAACACGATAGAACTGAAAACTAACCGAAATATCTTGTTTGAATTTCTTATTGGTCCAAATATAGTTTTCTTAAAATTTATTTTCCTTCAAAAAGACCAAAGAATTGAAAGCAACTAAACTAAAATGATTTCAAGCTTTGATTTGTGTGTTATGCTTATTTTTTTTAATATGATTTACTAAAGCATAGCCTGCCAGGAAAGCTTAAGAGAAAAAATATATAAAAAGTATACAGCACAGCTTCCAAATAGCCGACTAATAAGAGACTAAATAAAATATGATCGATGCCCAATAAGCTCTAAACAATGCCGCCTAAAAGTATGCAGCAATTTTTTATTTAAAATAATTTGCCTACGAAACGCTTTGGTTTCAAATAAAAAACCAAAAGAGAGAAAGGGAGAGAGACAGCTAAAAATATGAATACATATATGAATATATGCATGTATCTATATCTCAGAAGCAGACAGAAATGAGATAGAATTCGGAGAGCGAAAATTCTGCTTATTTCATGGAATTTAATATTCAGCAGCTATCGAAGTGAAATCCTCTTAGTTATATTCAACTAAGAAACAAAGTTGTATTATTTCTATGTATTTATATATAGTATATATATATAGTATATAATTTTCCCCCAAAATTTTTATTTAAAATTCACTTCAATAAAATTTGTTCACAATCTAATATCTAATCTAGTGAATTAACACTTGTACGGCTAAAAGGTATTCGCCATTATTAGTCATCCGGTTAACTATGTTGCCTGGCACTGCCATAACACGATTGCTATTATAGATGGCCTTTAGCTTTTGAACGGATCGGATGTTATAGACCTCGTTGGTTTGCACCATCAAGTACTCAATGATGGGTCGGCTTCTGGTGGGCCACACGGATATGGTGCCCACAATTTTGATGTCGTCGGGCCGAATGCTGGTCAGCCACAAGAGAAAGATTTCCTGATCGGGTGCGCTGCCCGTGCAGCAGGAAAGCGGCTCCGAGTCTTTCGATCTGAAGAATTCAGTTGACTGCAGTCGTGCGGACATTACGAGCACTGGCAACAAGTCAGGATACTTTTCGGTGTTCTTATCAAAGAACTTGTCCTTAACAAAGTAGACCATGTTGCATTTGGCCTTGTTCAGCATCGTGACGCGCGTGTCCAGAAAGAAGGTCTTGGCCTTGCAGGGCGAGATGCGCTCCATGGGCAGGGCTGGGTGCTCGTGGGTCAGGTGATCGTTGAAGTCCGAGATGAAAAACATGCGCCTGCAATCGGCATCGGGACAGAAAATGGGCGAGCGACACACTTTCAGGGGGCGTGTCATGTGCGGCTGCAGCACCTCGCGCTTAATGGACAGCAAACTGATTAGCTCGTTGGGGCTGCATGGCAGCGTGGAGAACTGTGCCGGCGGCGGATCGCGATGTTTCATAAGATCAGCTGTGGTTAAGCTCTGCAACAACTTTTGTGGATCCTCGGGAAATCCACGGAATCGTGCACGCTGCACTGTGGACACCAGCATATGCAGTTTGCTCAACAATCGCTTGGGCTTCAAGGGGCGCGCCTCGCTCTGCTTCAGCGATTCTTCAATCTTCACATCGATTTCAGCCGGGCTTTCAACCACAGGCGTGACCGAAGGTATCTCGGTCAGTTCAGAGCTCAGTTCACTGTCCTTCGGCGGTGCTGTTGGCTCAATTCTTAATGATTTCTCCTTCTCTGGCTCATAATGCTGTGCACCTTCTGACTGTGCATTCTCCTGCAACGTGTATAGCATAAGCTCCAGCTTTTCATCTAACGCATCCCCGATAGTCTTCTCCTTGTCCGTAGTCGAGTGGGCATCGACCGGTTCGCTATATGTTACGAACTGTGCACCACCACGCTGTCGGTCGAGATCAGTTTTAATTTCCATGTCTCGCAGATTCTTGAGCTCGGCCAGCTCCGCTTTGACGCGCTCGCATTCATCCTCAACGCGGCGGCGTATGAGCTCCCACTCACCAACCAAATGCTTCTTTTCGTAAAGCTTGTTGAGTAGTTGGTCATCCAATTCTTCCTCCTCAATTTTTTTGATATCCCTAGCCACTTCCTCCACGGTCAGTCTCTTGACGGCGCCAGTTGCGACATTGAAAATTGGCTTCTTTTCGTAATCCAGCGTTTTGGGCAGGCTTTGGTGCAATTCGCGTCGGGCTGCCTTTTCCTCCTTTTTGGTTTGGTTGGCTCGCAGTTGAGCTGTGCGCCGCTGCACCTCTTCCTGCCAGGGATTAAGCATATCCAGTTCGTATAGTTTGTCAATTTTGCGCTTACATTTGAAGGGAATCGGTGCACGCGGATCATCGATGTCCTCTTGTCCATAATCATGGTCCAGGTGACCATTACGCTGCTCGCTTTCCTCGTTAGACTTCTTGTAATTTCGCCTGGATGAGTGGCTGCTATGTTCCCCACGGTGCTTCCTATAATGCGGCTCATTGACAGCTGACCTAGACCGATGCTCGGAAGCATGATGATGATGACGATGATGTCGCTTGTCCCGATCCTCGCTGTGCGACCTCGAATGATCCCAAAAGGAGCCGCGCAGCATCTTAGCTGGCAGGCCAGCCAATAGCTCCTCTCTGATTACTTTGCGTGCTTCTTGGCGCAGGTCGTGCTGCGTCTTCCAATTGCGTAGCGTATTCATTTTCGGAGAATCTATTTTGGATTTCGAGCCGCTGCCCCACCCATTGTGCCAACCCTTGGTCGTCACGTCGAGCATGTCGCTCATCACATTGTGGCTTGGCTGCTCCTCCACACTCTCTGCCGGCTTCTTGCTATCATTGGACTTAAAGAAAAACCGCAAAGCGTCACACTTCGGACACCAGTCAGATATACCCTCGATGTACGGCTCGTCCTCCTGATGTCGTCGGCTGCGAAACTCAAACTCCGGATTGCTGTCCAGCTCCAGCTTTCCCAAACCGCACATAGTACACGCATACATTTTTAGATTGGTTTAGTGATATTAAAAACGATTGGCCAAAATTCAAATTACGTTTATATAAAATTAAATACAAAAAATATTTACAATAATTTATGCAAAGACGGAGAACTCCACCTAACTTTTATTAAAATCCAAACGATCGAGAAGTAAAAAGCGTTGAGCTTCAGATTTGAACACGTGTATGCTAAGGTGTTTGCTTAAAGTTAGCCAAGGCAGAGGCAAGTGACAAAGATTCCGCTTAGGGCTCCAATGAAGCTCCAGTCTAGAGCTGTGGCTATGGCATTAAAACTTCTTCATGTGCTGCTTCTTGTTTTCCGCTCCCATATTTGTTAAACAAATATAAAACATGCAGATTGGCCTCTCTGCGTCAGCCCATTCACCTGCCGTTGAGCCGCAGCGCGCACTCAGACGTCACTTGGAGCCCACGTGCTGACCGTGAAATTTTACAGCTGCGACAAGGCAAAGGCAGTGCGAAAATAAGAAGAAGAAATAGTAAAAGACCAAGATAGAGAGGGACAGAGCTAGACAAAGAGAGGGAGAGAGAGAGAGATCAGAGCTCAAGGTAACATATGTTGCCAGGCAAAGCCCATGCTCTAGTTGTCATGCCTCCGGCCCGAAGATCTCGAGAGCCATTGAAATTGTCAAACGCCCCCCGTCAAGAGGCTGCACCGGGCAAAAATCGGCTTAAAGCCGCGTCCAATTGAGTTTCGGATCGGTTCACTTGTTGCTCTGGTCAATTTTTATTTTGTTGACTTTGTTCGGTGATTCAGCAACGTTTGACTGTTCGTTGATAAGATGCGCAAAAGTAAGATAAATAACGGAACATGGCATCGAGCCAAGTCAAATATTGAAACACAGTCACACTTTCGAAGGCCTAACCATCGATGGTATAAATACCCCAAGTGCCAGCTGGTCAGCTATCAAACGACTCTGTGCATTCAAACAACAGACAACATACAACATGGTAAGCGAACGTGTTCAACAGAAACCCGTCAGCAACTAATGGAGCTATCCTATCGCAGAGAACCAGCTACGTCTCACTTGCCATCTGCGCCTGCTTGGCCCTGGCCGCTGCAGATGTCTCACATTTGCCCAGCAGCTACTTGCCGCCGGCCAAGCCGGAGCAGGTCGAGCACATGTCCATTGAACAGCACGAGCTGCGGGAGCTGCCCGAGCAGGTGGACTATATACGCGAGAATGAGCAAGGCGTCATGGAGATGGCGCCCAGCAGCCAACTGACTCCGCCAGCCATGCCGCAAGCGGAGCAAATGCTCTCGGCTCGCTATCTTCCGCCAGCTGAGGCAGCTGTGCCCGCCGCAAGCTACCTGCCACCTGCTCAGCCTGCTTTGCCCACTGTTGCTGCTATGCCTGCCACGCGCTACTTGCCGCCCACTCAGCCCGAGCCGGAGCCAATGATGCAGCCCGAAATGATGCCAGCCATGGAGTACGTAGCACCGACTGAGCCTCAGCCTGAAGCAGCGACTGCCATGCGCTATCTGCCGCCCGCACAACAAGCCGAGCCAAATAACTATCAGCACTACCAGGGGCAGGAGCAGGAGCAAGAGCAGCAGATGCCCTACATTCTGGATGTTCAACAGCCGATGGCTCCCTCCGATGCCGACTCCCTGGCCCAGGAACCAGAGCCCGCCCACGAGCTGCGCCAGGATGGATATCATTACAAACACGCTGAGCAGGAGCAGCGCCTGCGGCACTAGATCAAGCCCAAAGTCACCAGAATGTTGTTAAATGTTAATTTAGTAGTAAAAGCATGAATAAAACGAGAGTTTACTAAACGTAGGTCCCAGATTGTCTGTCATTGAGGTAAATCTTCTGGAATTGCCTATTACTTGGGTTTCCATTAAAAGAATTTTATAAAACAGCTAGTCAGTCACATCGACCACACTTCAAAGCTGAACGTCGTCATTCAAAAAGCGCTGCTTGTCCTCGGGCTGCAGCGGCAAGCCGTCGTGCATCACCTCAACTCGGTGAATGTAGAAGTCAACCCTTTGAGCGGTCACATTCAACGTTACCACGATGCAATAGTGCAACACACACAATTGAGTCGTGCGCAGCACATACGATGCCCCCTCTGCTTCCGGGAACAGCGGATGGCCCTTGGCCTGGCAATCGTACATGAAGTAGCCGCCGCTAGCCCCATCACGGAAGCCAAACAACACCGAACGGCCATTGGACGAAATAATGCCATACTTGGAGTTCTTAAAGAAGTCACCGAGGGCTTCGGCAAGATTCGGCTGAAACACTGAGGACTTGCAATAGAGCTTGCCAGTGCAAGCGTGATTGATGTAGACAACAAACTTCAGAGATTCGAGGCTGCAGTCTACGTTAAGGCTCTTCAGCGAGAAACGATTTCTCTTCGTACTCGTGATACTCTTGCGGAAGTACCTAATGCCATTCACAACAATCCTGTCCAGCAGGTGGTCGGTCCAGTTCATTAGGTCAAACACGCAGGCCGCACAGCAGGCGACCACATAGACAGCAAGATACTCATTTCCATGAAAACGACATTGATTTCCACGAATGATATTCGTCTCAGGCAAAATACTGCCCCATAAGGACCACAGGCGATCCTCGATCTCTATGTCGTAGTTATTCAGCTTGCTCTGGGGCTGATCGCGATAAGCTCCTGTCGTGTTACGTTGATACTTACGGCTCCAGGCCGGCAAACGCCTGTCCAAGTTCAGCCAGTCCATTGACTCGTTTTTCATTCGAAAAGCCATTGGAATCCATACACGGAATAACGCCTGAAATTTCGCTCCATTAAATGGTTGATTCAACTTCTAGCAACACTTACCAAGTTACCGCGTGAACAAGCTTTTTAAGAGATTTACGGAATTTTTAAGACCTACAGATTTCAAATATGGCATTCTCTCAGAAACAAAAAAAAACTGCTCTATTTGAGTACTAACTAAATGAAGGCAAAACAACAAAAACAATTAATGCTTCTGCCTTGTAGACGACTAGGCATTACTCTATTGTCCAAATCTGTGCTATGATACTGAGAGATAACAACTCACTAACTATCGTGGTTGTTTTACTCTTTTACTGGCCTTCGTCACGTGCCCCACTGCCGCCTCTTCGCTCTCCACACTGACGCCCTCACGCAACATCTCCACCTTGTGGATGCTGAAGCCGATGTTGTAGCAGGGCACGTTCAGAGTGACTACTATGCAGTAGAGCAGCACCTGCAGATGTCGTGTGCGGAGCAGGTACGAGGCGCCCTGTTGCTTGGGGAACAGCGGCTGATCCTTTTCCTGGCAATCAAACATGAAGTAGCCTCCGCCTATACCCGGACAGCACCCAATGGCCACAGCACGCTTACGCACCATCACGATGCCAAATTGGTAGTGGCTGAAGAAGTAGATGAGTGCCTCGCAGAGATTCATGCGATTGAAGGTGGGCGCACAATAGAGCTTGCCATAGCAGACATGTTCGATGTGAACCACAAAGTTGATTGATTCGAGTGCGCAGTCAATGTTGAGGTTCTCCAAGGAAAACTCGTAGTCCTTTTGTTTTATTTTAGCGCAACTTTCCTGGAAGTACTTGTTGCCACTCACGACAATCGTATCCATCAGTTGGGCGCTCCAGTCCATTAAGATGTAAATGCTGGCCGCACAGCAGGCGACCACATAGATGGCAAGATATTGGCGTCCACGACACTTGCTCTGGAAAACAGGTGCCTCAGGATGCAGATTGCCCCAGAGTGACCACAGGCGATCCGCGATCTCTATATCGTACTCATTCAGCTTGCTTAGCGTCTGATCGCGATAATTTCCAGTCGTGTTACGCTGATACCTTCGGCTCCATACAGGCAGGCAGCCCTCCTTCTGCCAGCGCAATGACTCATTCTTTGCCCTGAAAGTCATCGCGATTGATGTATATGACACCAGCTACGAAATTAAATGCATTATATAGTCGTTTGGAGCTTCGCAAGTGCCTACCGGAACAAAAATCACTGAAGACAAGATTTTGAAAGTCCTTTCATAATATCCAGTTTTAGGAGTGTTATAAAGATGTTTTGAATTAAAAAGAACAGAGTTGCTAGATTCTAGTTAGTGATCGACTCACAGATTCCCCTCATATTAGTGCAGCTCCAGTTTTAAGTTTAATTTCTTTATACCAAGAGTCACAAGTTGGAAAACAAACATTGCCTCATTGACATCCGATAATCGATGATACCTTCATTCCCCATTTAGAGACCTTTAAGCTACTATTTCATATATTTTAGGCCTTGGGATAAATCAGTAGTTCTTAAAAGCCGTCGAAATGTCTAGACAAATATTTGTGCACCAATTGTAGTGTTTGTCTTACAGTTGTTCAGTTTATTTTAAAGCCGTTGTATAAAACTCAATATATTTAATAATTACTTCTAAAACATAGATCCTCACTAACTACACTCGAAGACCGCAATTGCATTGCAGCTCTACTGATCACCCTCCTCCTCCTCCTCCTCTTCGTTCTCGACGGTAGCGCCCTCGCGCAACATCTCCACCTTGTGGATGCTGAAGTCGATGTTGTAGAAGGGCACGTTCAGAGTGACTACTATGCAGTAGAGCAGCACCTGCAGATGTCGTGTGCGGAGCAGGTACGAGGCGCCCTGTTGCTTGGGGAACAGTGGCTGATCCTTCTCCTGGCAATCGTACATGAAGTAGCCTCCATCTGTGCCCGGACAGAATCCAATGGCCACAGCACGCTTACGCACCATCACGATGCCAAATTGGTAGTGGCTGAAGAAGTAGATGAGGGCCTCGGAGAGATTCATGCGATTGAACGTGGGCACGCGATAGAGCTTGCCATAGCAGACATGTTCGATGTGAACCACAAAGTTGATTGTTTCGAGTGCGCAGTCAATGTTGAGGTTCTCCAGAGAAAACTCGTAGTCCTCCTTAGTTATTTGTACGATGCTCTCTTGGAAGTACTTGTTGCCACTCACGACAATTGTGTCCAGTAGTTGGGCGCTCCAGTCCATCAGGTTGTAGACGCTGGCCGCACAGCAGGCGATCACATAGATGGCCAAATATTGACGTCCACGCAACGCGTCCTCGAAGACCGGCGCCTCGGGATGAAGATTGCCCCACAGGGACCAGAGACGTCCTTCAATCTCCACGTCGTACTTCTTGAGTTTGCTCAGCGGCAGATTGCGATACTTTCCAGATGTGTTGCGACGGTTCATGCGGCTCCACACGGGCAGACAATTCTCCAACTCCAGCCAGCCCAGGGATTCGTTGGTGGCACAGATCTCGTACTCCGGCCGCCCGTACTGGCGATTAGAGCAAGTCATGGGTATCGACAGATCCGTCAGCAGTTGTAGGATTCTTGCATTGGGCGCCGCCTTCCTGTATGAGAGCACATCAACCACATAGAACATGTATTGATTGCGCTCCTTCCAGTCCGGTTGCGAGCAGCGTTGGTCTATATACTGGAACATACCATCGATATCGGCGAACAGGACCCAGGAGGCGGTGTTGCGTTCCGGATAGCGCTTGGGTCCCTTTGGGCACTTCTTCTTTTTCTTGCCTTCGCCCTCTTCGTCGCCAGCGTCGGCGGCATCCTCCTCCTCCTCTACGCCTGGCTTGGCCATGCTCGCATATGGATCGAACAGGTGATAGAACTCGTCGTGATACAAGGCAAAGCAACCGTTAGGCGTAAATATCATCAGATATTTGCGCAAAGCGAGCACCTTCTGCATCTTCTTTTTGATCGTGACCAGCGCTGCTTCGGCGGAAAGTGTAACTGGTTTTGGTGCTGGCGTCCACATGCCCAGCGGCTCCAGGATGCGTATCCAGATATCGAACTCGTATTCGTCAATCGTCACGTGTCGCACCACACGCTCAAAAACGGACTCCAGATCACAGACACGCGCCGCAATCGATTTGGCATGGGTGATCACTCGATCGATGCGATACGAGTTCCAGCGATTGAGCGGACGCAGCGAGACGCTGAGTATGGCCAGGGCACAGGCAAAGTAGCAAGGCTTGATCTCTTTGAAGCTGCCCTCCCCACGGCCCTCGAGATTCATGCTGCCTTGGATCTTGAAGTTGCAGTCCTTTTCGCGCATGCGATAGCCGTACAGGATGGGGCGTGGCTTGTAGACTTGTTGCACCATCTTGGGCAAGCGTTTGCCGGGCTTGTGCTTCAGTTCCACCTCTTCTTCGCCCTGACCCTCCTCCTCCTCCTCCATACCCATCAAGTCCATTTCTTCTTCGTCCATGCCCTCGTCAATGCCCACGTCCTTGTACTCAGCTGCGTATAAGATAGAAATTGATTTGGGTTAAATTTTGACAGAAATGTGAAGGCTACTTACGTTTCTTGCCCTTTTTACGATCTTCGTGCGCCTGCTTGGCCGCCATATAGTCCTGAATACGTTTGTTCTCCTTCCTCAGTTCTTCATCGATGACACGCATCTTCTCCAGACGCTGCTCGCGAATTCTATTTTTGCGCGCCGATTCCGCATTGAACTCTGCATCCTCATCCGACTTGGCCCAGCGTCGGAAGTGGCCCTTGATATTGTTATCCACGATCTTAATGGCAGCGACAATATAGTTCATGACCGAGCAGCCCTGCGGATTGCAGCCGAACTCAATGCGACGTATCAACGAGTCCAACTCAATGAAACGCATCATGCAGGCCGGCCCAGCTCCGCCTTTGCGATATCCAATCGCATTGCAGGGGAAGCCAATGAACATGTAAAGCAGGTTGTAGCGCTTGAATATGACGCAGGAGAAGTGCTGACAGACAACAAGCACACGATTGTTATCGATGAGCAGCTCGAGCAGATCCTGACGGAGCGACGATGATATTGAGGATTTGTACACCTCGGATACCACCAGGGAAAAGTTGCTCTCGCCAACGGCAATGTCTGGCAGTTTCTTGTTCAGCAAGCACGACAGGATGAGCTCATAGTTTTGATACTCCTCCCCAAACTTGTTGACCGAATAGATGCAGAACTCAACCAGTTCGGAATTCCATGTGGATACCCTGTACTTAGCGGAGACTGCCGTGGCCACTAGGGCAGCCAGGACACCGCCCAGCTTCGTCATTTCGGGATCAAGTTGTGGGAGTTTCGTGGTGCCCATTATGATGTAGGCGCCGTCATGCAGCGTTTGGTAATTGGACTTGAGCTCGAGCTCTTCCTCTATGGTTAGCACGCGTTTCAGATCGGGTCGCTCCTCCTCCTCGCCCAGCTCGTAGCCGCGCTTGATCTTCAGACGCAGCGCACGTAGATTTTCCTGGTCTGAGGCCACGAGCAGCTTCTGTGCTTGTCTGTATACGAACGGTCGTTGCAATTTGTCCTCGGGTATTTCCTTAATAATGGAATTGATGATATCCAGGATGAACTCCTCAGCATGTTCTCGCTCGAATTTTGTGGGAAAGCGCTCCTCTTCCGGTATGCTCTCGATGCTCTTCTTTTGCGCCAACTCCACGTCCGCTGGCTCGTCCGTGAACGTGGGCAGACCCATTTGCAGTGCCGGAAACTTGTTCGACTCCTGCGTCATCACTTGCAACGGCCGTATGCAGCCCGTGCGGATGCCATGAATGAAGAATTTGCCGCCACGTCGCATCTTCAATGCATTCTGATAAATAAGACGCACGAAGGAATCAAATGTGGTGTGCATTTGCAGCACGGCCAGACCCTTGATGCGATAGTCATCGGGATCCACAACCATGCCCACGCGATTGCGTCGAAACGGATCGAAGACATAGAAGAACTCCCGATCCCGCCATATGCCCAGAACAGAATTGTCAATCTGCAATAGGGCAGCCGGCCACTCCGGCATCTCGAACATATGCTGCAACGCGTGTGTCAGCTGCGACTCCAGATACGACTTGCAGTCGGTCACATGGCCAGTGATCAGGAATGGATATTTGCGCACCGTGGCCTTAAATGCGCCCATCAGGAACATCTCCGGCAAGTCGACGACATTCAGTTCGGGCTTCTTGTTCTTCCAGCGCTTGCCATCCAAACGAAACTTTTTGCGCAGCGTCTTGTAGTAGGCAACGCCGTAGCGAATGATATCGTCAATGGTCATGGGGCGCCACATCTTGGCCAGCTCGAATTCCGAGTAGATCAGTGCGATGAGCGAAACAACAAGCGAAGCGTTTTTCTCTGAGCCAGAAATGGGCTGCTGAATGCCGCTGTTGCCGCCCGTCTTGACCGCAAAATTCTCATTGACCACGGCCCACAGCTTGTGGTAAGGCTGTGCCTTACTCTTGCCAATGAGGGGCTCCTTTAGCTTGCCATACTGAGTCAATGCGATTTCGTAAATGCTAAACTCATCGTCGCCATTCAAATCGCTGAATTTGGTTATCAAATGGACCAGATGCTCCATGTAACGTGTCGCCATCAGCGAGCACATGCCCTCCTTGAAGTCACGCTGGCACAGCTCGTTTCGTCCATTGGGATCAAAGATGAAGAAGGAGTCAATGCAACGTTTCCAGATCAACAGAAACATATCGCGCGACACAAAGATGCAGGCATTGTACTTGGAAAAGTACAGAGACAGAGCCTTATACAGATTCGGCTCTTTCTTGAACAGGCCAGTGAAGTGTATCTTGATATTGACGGCTGCCTGGCGCTCCGTCACCTGGGGCAATATGTCGAAGTCATTGTCCTCCGATTTGTAATTGAGCGAAATGCTCTTCTTCGTTAGCTTTACGCCGCGCTTGAGTATACCGTCCATGGTCCCAGCAGTCCAGAAATCTGGATTCACTTGATAGGTTTCGACAAAGGCTACAATAATGGAAGCGATCTCGCTGGGTCGATTATAATAGCTGCAACGGGCTCAGCATTTAGTAAGGCCTGTCAATAATCCAAGCTGCCAACTCACCTTCGACGATATGGCGCCCTTTTCGGTTCAGGATAAATATTACGATTGCCGAACACAATTTCGGCAGTAAATGTTTTCTCCAGCTGGTTGGGTATATTATAGATGGTGAGTCCAACATCCTGACCTGTTTTTGAACAGGCCTAGAAATGATTAGTGGAGCTTCTCAGGCATTTGTTAAGCCGCTTGGGCAACCCACCATATTTGGGCAAAGCAGCCGCTAGAAAATCTTGATCCATTTCCATTTCCCGCCTCTGCATGTCAACGTTCCAGGTCCATAAATCTTGAGGATTGCAACCTTCGATAATGTCGTATGATCTCAGATTTTCACCCTCCAAGCCTTCTTGAATGACACGTGGATCATATGATGGAAATGGCAGCTCTTCCAAAGGTCCAACTTGTGTTTCGTTCAAATAAATGCGACTCTTAGGACGTTTCAACTCAAGCTGAGTGCAAGAAACAGGTTATAGATATATATATATGTATACATTTCTATATATATTAACTAGCTAAAGATGTACAAGTTTTCAATATTATACGCATGGGACTGTCTGGTCATCATCTTTCCTTCATCTCCCACAGCTTGTAGCTTGTAATGGAAGACATTTGTGGATAGCATTGCGCATACGACGCGTGGGCAGTGCCTCGCTGGTGCTTTGGCCCCCGCAACTGCATAAAACGAACTTTACAGAAAAACGAAACGAAGCGAAGCCATACAAATTAAACTCGGAGACAGCTTTATGAACAGCCCAACAATTCAGGCCATATGTTAAGTTGTCGCAAATGCGTTGTGCTTTCGCATGTCCGAGTCTTTCCTGTTGTTTCATAAGCTTTTTTTATTTTGCCTGGCCCAAGCACACACAGACACATGCACGTCTACACTCACATAGTTATGTGCGAGTTAATGCGACATTTCAAGTTGCAAAGCTGAAAATAGCACGCATACGCCATGGATGCCAGCGTGAACGCGCCTATAAATAAGTATGTATAAATGTATACATATAAATATAGGTATATCTGTAGCGTATATGCGTAGCTGTTCGTAAAGAGAGCTAAATATGGAGGCCAAGCCCTGAGCCAATCCATATCGCACTCCACGCTATTGCGGTCGACTATGAAGTTAGTAAGCGGCATAAAGTAAGCACGAAATGCCAACTAGACTGGCTAACTATACAGCCGATTGTCTGATGTTCGTATTGCTGTATGAGTGTGGTATATCTGACTGTGTCTGTGCGTGTGTGTGTGTATGTGACTGCCTCTATGGCTGGCTGGCCACGCTGACGGCCACAAAACAGCGCACAGAGCAGTAAACAGCGAACAGCGCTTAGTGCCACATCACGAATCTTATCGCAAGCGCACGAATGCCAGAAACATCAGCAACAGCAGCAACAACAAAAGCAACAGCAACTAAACGCCAAAACCCGACAAGCTCGAGCCGAGCGTAGGTCGGCTGCAGAACAAACAAGTCATCTAACAAATACACGAAAGAGTATATATATATATATATAAATATATATATAAAGACAGCCAGCAGCAGCAACTAGCGCTGGAATTGCCAGCTATAGCCAAGCGAACGCGCACTTATAGCATACGACGACGTCAATAAACACGAGTGCGACGTTGTGCGATACTAATACTAGCAACATCAACAGCAGCAGCAACAGCAACAGCAACAACAACGCAACCCTCTCAACTTTAAACGCGACTGACGCGAGTGCTGGCAAAATGTCAAACCAGGTACGTGTGGGCATGACGCAAGGGCACAGCACAGAGCTGGCAGGAGACAGGCGGCAGGTGTTGCAGGTGTTTTCATTGCATTTCATTTATTAATCGTGTGCCTGCCTGCGCTTAAAAATCCCTTCTAAATAAATCAATTAAAATGCACAAAATCAATAAAATTCGAACGGAACAAGCATTGAATATGAGTCGAAGCACGTGGCATGCAAATGCCAAATATGCAAACTCCAAATACAAACACACACACACACACAGAGACACATATGCATGCATGAGTGTGTTGTTTGCGCTTGACAGCCTGGCAGCCTGTTTTCAAGTTCAACAAGGAGCCGGAGTCAGAGCCAGAGGCAGAGACAGAGCCACGTCAGCAGAGTTGCTACTAAATAACATATAGATAGGTATGTGTGTGTGTGTTGAGTATATGCACATGCCATTATGATGCTGAAGTTGCATAAAAGTCAAGCCAAACACACAAAAGAAGCCCATAGCATGCAATAAAAACTTGAGGCCAGGTGTGTTTGCTACAGCCGCTGCTGGGCTGTTGGTCTTTTTCGTTATTGCTTGTGAGCAACAAACTTGGCAAGCGAGCGGCCATAACAACGCACACAGAGTCAATCAGAGACACACACATACGCTAGCACACGCACACATTGACAAGACGTACAGGCAAACAGACGACGAAACGTCAAAGTAAAGCGCAATAGGAAAGAGCAATGGCAGCTGCAGTGGCGTAGTCTATTAGGAGTAAGGCGGGGACGAAGGAGAATGTGATGTGCGCGGTACGAAGCAAGGATTAAAAAACTAAATCTAAACCATACTTATTAATTGTTTAATATGGTTCTGTCCAGCCTGCAGAGAAGCATTGATAAGGCGCGTACGCCCCATAAAATATTTAGAAAAAAAAACACATTTTATCAATATCAATACAATAATTTCGTGCTCCAACTGTAACCGCCATAGCGTGTAAGACTGAAGAGCGCACAGGCATACTGTTTGGTTTTGCGTTATCTGCAGAAGTTAATTAGCTTAATGCTGCTTGGAAACAAGAACTTGTCAAACTTTTGGTGTTTATTAAATCAAAAAAAGTACCAAAAGAATACATATTCAATTAGGTATTAAGATAGATAAAACCGTTGTATGCATAATATTAATGGTTGACTACGCCCCTGACAATTGCAACATAACAAATAAAGCGCAGAAAAGGAAATCAAGAACGAAACATGGAACTAACAATAAGAGCGCAACTGAAACAAAAATTAAGCGACAGCTACGTCGACTGCGATGCCAGCGTCAGCGTCGTTTGGCTTTTGCATAGAAACAAATGCAATGCGCAGCAGCAGCAACTGCAAACGCTTGTCTGTGTGACTACCAGTGCGTGCGCGTGTGTGCGTGTGCATGTTTATGTGTGTATATACATATATTTGTAGCAGCTGCTGAATGCTCCTCGCTTCAATGCCCGACCGCAGAACTAGTTCAGAACTAGTTACTTAAATCGCATAGTACAGTTAAATTTGTTATCAATTGTCCTAGGAAATCGTAACATGCTTCATTTGCAAATAGAAGTTATAAAGCTGCTGCTATCCTTCTCTAACATACTAATTCATTCACTTGGGTTGCTAACAACAACAGCAAGTAAATACAAACACAATTCCACATAGTCACACACAGACAGCTGAACGATAGGCGGCCTGTGCATAGCGAACCGTTTTTATTTCATACGGCCACAGCAACGGGCAGCAGCACCAGTAACAACTACAACAGCCACAGAAACAGAAACGAACGTACGGTAAACACCTGAAAACGTAAAACAGTGCACAAGTGTTACTCAGCGGCCAAGCACGCGTGTAAAAATGTCGCCCCAGTAGTAGTAGCAGCAGCAGCGGCAGCAGCAACAACAACATCAATAGCAATAGCAGGCATAGAAGCACCACACAAAACCAATTGAAACCGAAAGCGTGTGCACAAAAAACATACAACTAAACAAAAAGTAAAAAGACAAACGTGATAGCAAACATTTAGGCCTAACAAAGTATACTTAATTGCATTATTATTTATTATTGCAAATGCTTTTTCTATTTGCGCAGCATTAAAAGGAGTCACAGAAAGAGAACGCAAAACGTGTCAGTGAGAGAGCGCGCGCTAAGACATACACGCTCTCAGAGAGTGACAGCCGCAGCAGCAGCGGCAACAGCAACGACAACAACACCGCAATTGACTTTTAAGCAGTTTGAGCTTTCATTTTGAGGACGCTGCGCAGCTGTTAGCGAAGAGCAGACGAACGGAAAAGGTGAAATATAATAACTGCATTTGGCGAGCAGCTCAACGCAGCCATGGACACAACAGCAGCAACCACACGAAAAGGAAACAACAACAATAACAACAGAAGCAAAGGGGTAAGTCGAAGTGATTCGCATTGCTTGCGTTATGTTAACTTGGCCTTTAGGAAGCATGAGGGTTGATTTGGTATGCGTTTTGCTTATGGCATCATACATACGCATTCGTAAGACAAGCAATTAGTTACAATGGCGTAGTTAGTAATTTGTTGGCAAGGGATTATTTATGGCATATCCTAAGAAATGCATTTACATAAAATTGCGTAGAGTTGTAGAACATGTCACTTATTTATGGTAAATATAATAAATTCTTGAAAAGTATTAAAATTAAAAAGCTTTAAAAGTAAATATATTTATCTAAAGCACAGATAAACTGCTAAAGCTGAGCTAGTCAACTATGGGTACAAAATGTAGTAGATTTTTAGGCCCCTCTTTTACCTTAGCCACTGCACTAGAACTGGTTAACACCTCTTGTTTTCATAATCTTACAATTTGATGGGGCGTGAATTTGATTAGTAAAAGACGCAACTTCAAGCTTATCAAAGCAAATTCTTAAAATTCTCTTATTTCCAATCTCTTTGATTAGGGCAAAGCAAAACCGCGTCGCAATGAACGCAACATTTTAACTTTCTATGAGAAAATTGCGGTTATACGTTACTACGATGAGACGAACATCTCCCGCAACAGTCTGGCCAAGGAGTTCCATTGCTGTGCAACCCAAATTCGTCGCATTCTGGAGAAGAAACGTGAGCTATTGCAGCAGCTGGCGACGCTGAGCGAAGCGGATGCCTCCATTGTCATCGAAGAGTTGACGCGCAAGCGCCGAAAGTTCGAAATGAGCGGCATTAGCTATCTCTTACACGAATGGGTGGAGCGCTGTCGTCAGCTGCGCCTCGGCGTTAGCATAAGGAATCATACGCTTAAGGAGACGGCGCTCAAGTTGGCAGCGATGCTCAAATTGCCAGCCTTTAGGCCATCCTATCGCTGGCTAAATCGATTTCGCAGCAAATACAAGTACGAGAACGATGAGCTGGGCTACACAGGGCCATGTCCGGTGGCAAGTGTACTGCCACTGGAACAGATTATTGTGGAATTTAAGCATGCCCTGCCAAATTTCATGCAGAAGGAACTGGCAGACATTGACATGGATGGCAAGCTAAGTGCTTCAACGCCCGAATTGGTGAACTTATCGAGCGAAAACAGTGAAATATCCGATGGAGAGGATCTCGACGACGATGGTGTCGAAATGTTGACCTGCGAGCCAAGTGTGCTGCATTCCCCAGCCAGCACTTCGGATGGGGAGGATGAACCGTTGCCGCCACCGCTACCGCAGCAGCAGCAGGCGGAAGAAGATGCCTCCATTAGCCTGCTAATGAATGCGGGCTCATGCACACTGCTAAGCAGCGTCTTTCCCCACTTGGCTATCATACATCAGTTCGCTCTAATGAACTCCGATGTGCAGGCATTGGAGCTGATCTCACAGCTGGGCGTGCACATGCAGCAGCAGGCAACCGCTGGTGCTTACCAAACCCTAACCCTGCCTTCGAGTAGCGAAGCGCCAGCTCTACCAACACCAGAGCTGCCACCGGGCAGCATATATGCGGACATAGATGACATCGAGTTGATCGAATAGAATTAAGAGTATATTATTCATAAATAAAAGTCAGCTAGAACTTACCATGCGTTTATCGGGTATAATAATCATGGCGGAGGAACATTCTGGCGTAGCCTTCTGCGGCTTGAGTTCACCCTCTTCATCCTCTTCGGCGGCGAAATCTTCCTCCTCCTCTTCATTTAAGTTCATCGGACTGTTCAGTACAATCAAGTCCTTCGGGCAGGACTTCTCTAAGCGAGCATCGTGCTCCACTAGACCAGCGTCGGTCTTGGACAACAGAACGCGTTCACGCATTTCGGCGTTTGTTCTTAGTTCGCCTGGCATTCGTTGTGGTATAATGCACATGGTGAGCTCATCGTAGAGATCGCAAGTTTTCTTATATGGGCGTACGAACCGAGACTCTTCGGCTTTCTGGTGTAGGCGTCGCAGCTCATCCTCAATGGTTAGCACGTGAGAAATCGTGGAATTCGGTGGCTTCTTTAGGCACACTCGGTCACGCGGTGGGCAACTTTCGACTCTCCACTCCGTTATAACATTATCACCCATAAAAGTACGCACGGCATATGGATTCACTGAAGGACTCTCGTCCGCATTTACCTCGACAAATTTTTTAAGCATTTTTATAAATTGAGTACTATTAATTTAACAAAAAGAAAGTAAGGACTTCAAACAAAAAATTTTGTATTGTGAAAAAGTCTTCATTGAAAGACTTCACTCGATTGATTGAAACTCATTTGTATATTCAATAAAATTAGTTTAAGTAATAAGCCTACTACAAATTTGGCGCCACAGCATAAGAGGAAGGGCTGCCAGATAGGCAGAAATGGAAGAGTGCTCAACAAATTGCTTGCCGATATGTTTAACTTATCGTACAGCCGCCACAGTGCAATGCAACCCTAGCGATCATTCATTTATGCATAATAATTTCTTATATTTTTTTGGTGTTTTATTCAATTTAATAAAAAATACTATGTATTTGTATTTCATTTTATAATTCTAAATTAATACTTGTTAAATATTATTAGCTGTGCACTATTGTAACTTGGTTGTTACTATTGTGAATATATTTTCAGCGGTTCAAATTTTAGTTTAGTTAGTTAGTTTGACTTTTAAACTGTTTACAAAAATATTTTGCATATAATTGATAAAACTAGTTTTCAAGTTTTGCTAAAATAGCGGGTTATTAATTCTACATTTTACACCACAAATAGTTATTGCTGTTAATAACAGAGTACCAAGATGTTAAGCTTTCGGATGCCAAAACATACAAAGAAGAAGCAGGAGACAAGCGAACAATAGAATACACTAAGAAATAAATAAATTCCAGTGTAATTGTTCGTTGCACTTGAGTTATTGTTGGCCACAAATGTAACCCATAACGCATACACACTTACACAAACACACACACTCTGTTCTTGTTTTTTTTTTTTTTATTTGCGGCAGTCGCAAAGCAGTTTCACAAGGGAGAACTATGAAAATTGGTGTTAATTAAACTGTAAAACCTACGGCAAGAATAATAAACGCCAAAATGTGGATTCAACCAAAGGAGCTGCTGCTGACCTCAGCATTTTGGTGAGTAGAAACGAAGATTTAGGTCTTCTCGAATTCTGTGCCGCCCCCTTTTGCGTTTTTTCAGCAGCTGATTAATTAAAAGCCCCTGCGCGAACACACAGCTGTGTAGGTGTGTGCATTTGTGCGTATGTATGGGTGCTTTCGTTTTATTTTTGTTATTGTTGGCCGCACTAATGGCTGATAACTAATTGAACAGAGTTCAAGTCAGCCAGCTCTGCACTGATTCCATAAGCAGCTGTGGAATAAAAGCGCAAAGCAGGCTTAAAATTAGATTGTTCTGTTCGCACAACTGTTTTTTGCTGCGTAAAAGCCCCACTCGTTCAGGCACACATACACACATATGTATGCAAACTTACTCCAACAAAGCCCCAGCACACACATACAAATATGTATATGTACCGTTTTTGCTACGTTCCCAATTCTGATTTATCATTTTGCAGGACCGCCGAAATGTATTCCAAGTATTTTGTGCTACAGAAACGACGTGGACATGGCGAATCGCGAGGTTTTGGCTCAATGCTGGTGGGCACCATCGACAGCGTCATGAACACAAAGCCGGCGCCCTATCGAATACTTCATCAGACTCCATCCTCTGAAGTTTCTTATGGTAGGTTGGAAAACATATAAAACGCACCTTCTACGTATCGTTATCAGCAACATGTTCGATATTTCAAATGTGTAATGTGGGCAATGCGCGAGTGCATATTAAGTAGAAGGCTGCCCTACTGCTACACTGAGTCATTCAATCACCCATAGGCGAAATGCATAGATATATTTAACTTGTAAGTGTGTATCGAAGGGGCATATTGACTCTATGCATTTGCTGTGCGATAAGAAAAATAAAATAAAGTAAGTCAAGCAACTAGGCTCCCAACATCGCAAGTATGATCACTATGTCACATACAAATGCAAACTATTGAGAGATGGAGAGAAAGACAGAGCCGTAAATGAGTGATGAGAGGGAGAGCGACTGTGATTATGAGAGAGAGCTAATAACCAGCGAGTGATAAAAGAGAAGGAGAAACACTAAGTGAGCCTTTGTGATGTTCATAAATTTGTGTAGAATAAAATAGGAATAAGTATTATAAAGCAAAATGTGGTCTTTTAAAAGAGAGAGAAAAGGAGAAATTAGATACACTATATTATTAATAAGATTAATTAAAGCAAAACAGCAGTAGCGATATTAAATGACTAACCAATTCGGACTATGTGTCAGCCTACTAGATAACTATTTATACAAGTGACATGGTGCTATAGTTAGCCATTATGCTTGTCTTGTATGCTTGTCTGTTTTCAAAAATAGAAATTGCTATTGGCATAACACAGGATGAGATCGTCAAGGACTGGGAATGGCTGCAGGCCAATCTGTTCAGTGTGCTTAACGAAATGGAAAATGAAGATGAAGTGACAAACTTTACCATATGCAAAATACAGTCGCTGTTCGCTCAAAATAATCAAGACGATACTGGTGAATCGCCAGACTTCAAGGTGAAGACTTCACAATTTAGACAAATCTTCAAAATGCCCGAAGAAGAACGCCTGGTTAACTCGTATTCGGCCACGTATGTTTATTGGCTTTACTAATTATTTCATGGTTATAGTTATTACATTTTTCAACTTACAGATATGTGAAGAATAAAATACCACGACAGGGACAATTGTACATCTCTCTAAATCATGTTTGCTTCTACTCGTACATGTTGAGCCAGGAGATCAAGCGAATCATACGCTTCGCTGAGCTGGAGGACATTAGCCGCAGTGGCAATACAATCTATCTGAAGACTACCAACAACATGACATATAACTTCACACTTCTTTTCAATCCGAATGAGGCCCATGTCCTCATTGAGCAGCTCAATAAAATGGCCATCCAGAAGTTAATTCATGACCCGGAGAGTCCCGTTGTCGACCATGATCCATCGAATTTCTCGCGTTATGGCACTAAGACTTCCAAGAAGCCTGTCCTGCTACGCGATTTGACAGCACGCCAAAAATCGGAGGAATTTCGCGTTTACTTTCGTCTGCCACAAACGGAAATTATTGATGGCAAAATCAAAGCCGATATATGGACGCCCTATGCGAAGCGATTTAATGCGGGCTATATTTATTTGTCGCCCAACTTCTTTTGCTTTCGCAGCGACGTCAAGGATTTGGTTAGCGTCGTAATACCAATGAAAACTATTAAGGTAAGTATGGCTGGTTGGAATAGCCTGTTTAGATATATCATTAAAGTACGCTATAATGGGAACTATATTTGTGTTACAGAGCGTTGAGAAAAAGGACGATGGCCAGCAACGCTTTGACAATCAAATTGTCATCTTTACATCAGAGAATGTGCCTTTTATGTTCGCCAAAATTACCGATCGCGAGGTGCTCATATCGAAGATCACAGATCTGCTATCGCGCATTCATATGTAAGTTTTGATTAAGTTGAATTTTCATTTTAATTTTGAAAAATTCTAATTTACAGACCGATCAGTCGCGAACGTGCCAAGTATGATATATCCTGGAGCAAACAGACTGCTTTGCTCAACACATTCAAGACGCAGTTCAGCGCGGACATACAGAAGAAACAGGAGCAAAAGCTGGCACGTTGGGAGGATCATTTTCGTGACTTTGGACGGGGCATTGCAATGTTTCGCACCACAGATGTGATTAATTTAATTGTGGAGGGCATACCGGACAAGCTGAGGCAGGAGATTTGGTTAATCTTCTCGGGCGCTATACACGACAAGGAAATGAATCCTGGCCTGTATGAGGATCTGGTGGAGAAAGCCGCTTGCATTAAGGATTGCTTTGCGCACGATGAAATCGATAGGGATTTGCCTCGATCGCTGCCCGAGCATCCGGCATTCCAGTGCACAGATGGCATCGGCGCCTTGAGACGTGTACTGCAAGCGTATGCGTTGCGTAATCCCCAGGTGGGTTACTGTCAAGCCATGAACATTGTTTCATCAGTATTTCTGCTGTTCTGTGATGAGGAGAATGCTTTCTGGATGCTGGCCAGCTTGTGCGAGAATCTGTTGCCAGACTATTACAAGGACAAGGTTGTGGGCGCCCAGATCGATCAGGGCGTGCTGAATGAACTGGTGGAGACGCATCTATCAGATTTGCATGAGCATCTGGAACGGCTTGGCGTTATCAAAATGATCTCCATCTCGTGGTTCCTTACCATATTCATAAGTGTGATCAGTTACGAAAGTTCTCTGCAAATATTGGACTGCTTTTTCTACGAGGGCGCCAAGATAATTTTTATGGTCTCACTGCAAATCATCGAATGGAATCGTGACAAGCTTCTCAAATGCCAGGACGATGGCGAGGCCATGCTGGTACTGCAAACCTATCTGGAAGGTATATACAATCCCGAATATCAAGTGCCGCCGTCCACGGACAAGCGCAAGCTTGAGCGACCACAGACCCAAACGGTCCAGACTCTCATACATGAGGCATACACGAAATTTGGTGAGGAACTGACGCAACAACGCATCGAGGAACTACGCAACAAACATCGTCGCCTCACCGTGCGTCAGTTCGATATTGACAACGAGAAGACCATTGTAAAGGCCCATGTGCAGAATGGTTACTTTAATCGACAGGAGCTGCACATGCTGCTCACGATAATACGCGAGGAAAAGCTCACACTCAAGTCTGTGCAACAGCAGCAGCAGAAGGCACAATGTCATATGAGTGAGGCGCCGCAGCTACTGCCGCATCATCAGTCGCCTTCACGTAGTGGAGTCACCGATGTTATGCCCGGTGGCGGAAATGGACGCCATGAGGCTTACTGTGTCAACTTTGAGGTATTCCACACGCTCTTCTCTGAGCTAACGCCCTGGCGTAAGTGCGTCAGCGTTGATATTGGCGAGAAGCTATTTAGGGTATGTTACTCTTCTGCCACAGCATCGTATATGCAACAAATCTAATCCAATTATTTTAACAGTTGACCGACAAAAAAGGTACCGGACAATTGGACTTTGGCCAGCTAATCAATGCTTTTGGCTTAGTCTGCTCTGCTAAGAGCATGGAAAAACTGAAGCTCCTTTTTGTATTGCATTTGCCACCGCTGTTGTCGAAGGCGGAAATTGAACGCACACGACGTCCACGTCCGCGGATAAAGGATGATGCAGAAGAGGCATTCGAGGCAGAGGACTTCTTTGAGTAATTAGACTTTCATTATCCGTTTGGCTTTACTATTTCGACCGTCTTTTATAGTGAGGATGCCTCAGAATCAATTGAAGCTTTGCCATCTCCATCGGATCACAACTTCGATGCCGATGACTATGCGTTAATTACCGCCACACAGCATTTGCATAATCTGGCTGGCATTTCGGGCAACACGTTCATGGATTTGTCACGGACAACGCCAAATCTCTCACTCAATTCGAATGCATCTTCGCTGGCGCAGCGCAACTCGACGTTCTATGTGGATCTGCCCGCTGCACTCCAGGGTACTGCAACACGCACAGATGCTGGGCAGGATGACGACAACGACATCGGCCTACGCCAGCAAGGACGTTACGAATCGATTGACACTTTTTCGGATATTTCAGATCTGGGGGCGGCCCGTATAACGCCGCCACAAACATCGACGACAGCAGCAGCCGCTACAGCTTCAGACCAACTGCTACTGAACGTTGAGACTATATCGAATTTCTCTCAAATCAGCGACCTGGTCGCAGCCACTCGTCTAGATCGTGCCGATTCGACTGCAACGGATACACGCAGCTTGGGTAGCCTGGGTTATTTGCTGGATCAGCCAGATGAGAGTGCGTCAGCATCTGGAAAACACCGCAATGTCCCACACATGCGCAAGGAGAATTTCCAATTGCTGTGGCGCAGCATCATAGAGATTTTGGGTTGCGTACAGGATGAAGAAATGCGATGTGCATGTAAGTGGGCAACCAACCATAAGTCAGCTCAGTGTTAACACTTATCTTTTGACAGATGAAAATCTCATTGAAATGGGCAACAGCAACATCAAGAAGGAACCGAGCCTAGAGAGCTTCACGCAGCTCAACTTAGGCGGCAGTGGTGATGAGGTGACTATAAGTTATATATTGCTGAGGTAGACAATTTTGAATTATCTTTATTTATATTCAGCAACCGGATAGAAATGGAAACCCCACAACCCCTGCTGCAGAGCCCAGCAGCACAACGCGTTTGTTTGTAGCTTTGGAAGAAGAACTGCGCCAGGCTAAAGCAGGAGCAGCCGCAACACCAACAACAACCAACAACAGTAGCGGCAGTGGCAGCAGCAGCACGACAAACACCTCCGATGCCTGGCATATATCCATTAATCAGTTTATTGCCACTGCACTCACTTGCGAATGCATCGTCAAAGCATTCCAGACGGGTACCCAAATCGTGGAACAAATCGAGCAGTTGCAGAAGAAGCGACGCAAGTGTTTGTCCACCAACTACAACTACTAAGTGTCCCCAATTGTAACCCAATGTCCTGTTAGAACCCAAGGTATTAGCCATAAAACGAACCCCCCATAGAACTGTGCAATGCGGCTGCAGCTTTTTAAGTGTCCCGTTTTATAAACTATATATAAATATATATTTCTATCTATATATATTATATATATGTTATGCGTAAATTATCCCAATTAGTTAAGCCAATTGTTTGTGAATATAGTTCGATTATACCTATTATACATAAAAACATAAAGTTCGACTTATGTTGTGTCCGCGAGAGAATTTATTTCAATATATGCACAGATACACAAAAATGTATACATATAAATATATATTCAAATTAGACTATTGTTCCATTGCCTCATCGTCGAGCTGTTTTGAACTGCGGCGAATTTCCGCCTCATTCTCCTGGCGTGAATGTTCGGCACTGCGCACAAGGCATTCCTCATAATTCCATTTGGGGAAGACGCGCTTATAGAGATACATGAATGCCGTGTCATAAGAACGCAGCTGACCATCGAAATAACACTTCATGTGACCATGCGTGCCCAGCGACTCTTTGATGTGACCCATTCGACCGCATTTGGTGCGTAGCTTCACGGGCTTGAAGTACTCCACGTCCTCCTTGTAGAAGAACATGTAGCGTATGGTGGCCGATTTGCGATTAATGCGCATCGGATGACCGCTAAGCACTACACGCTTCAGAACTATACGATCCGGATTGCAAGAAAGCAGACGGCCACGGGCAACTAATGCCAATGAGGAATCGGGATTAACCTTAAAAGCGAGCACGGCAGCAGGTGGAAACTGTATGGGCGCATAAAAGGTGGCGCACACGGTCTCATAGGGGCGGAAAAAACGTTCAAACTGCGAAAGAATTTAAATCAGATAATGCTAGGGATAAATTAGGTACAAAGGACACACCTTATGCTTGTCGCCATTGGTGTGCTGACTGTAAATGGGATTGACAACAAACCGACGATAGCCACACTGAACGATCAGCTGCTCCTTGGACTTTAGCGGCACCTCGGAGTCAGGAATACGTTGCAGCACAACATTCATAACGCACATCTGGTGCTCATGCGGTAACATGCCATAGACAATGACGTTATCCGAAATGTGAGCGGACCGGAATGCGCTCCAGCGGCTGGCGGGCACATTGATGACATGCAGCGTGATGTACAAGCCGGGCTGAGGTTTAAATTAGAATTATGTTAGTCTATTAACATATAATATCGCTTTCATTTTATTACCAAAATGCCTTCGAATTCTTTTGCTTCTGCCAAAATGCGACGCTTAGTGCGATCGAAGTTCTGAAACTGGTAGATGCGGGCATAATCGCTGGGCAGATTCTCTTTGGCATCCCAGGGTGATGTGCGGAACGATTCTAGGCCACGATACTTCTGGAAGCGTTCATGGGCAGGCACATCGAGCGGTGTGTCGATTTCGTCGGGCCACAATTGATCGGTGCGAGCCTGTTGTAACTTCTTTAAGGTCTCCCGCTCTTCCTGGAAATCCATTTGCTGATCGTATTTTTCGTCGTTGACAGCTGCCTCTGAGGACACCGAAACACTGTCCAAATACTCTTCTGTGTCCGATTCGCGTTTTTCGCACTCATCCTCAAAGGATTTATTATCACAGGACATAAAGTCCTCGTCTTCTTCATCGCCGCTCATGTCATCATCATCGTCGTCGTCGTCATCTTCCTGGCCTTCCACTTCCTCCACATCAGGTATCCAAGCAGCTTGGTACTCGCTGTAACCTTTGGGCACACGTTTGATTAACTTTGTTTTCTTTGTTTCCTTCTGTGCTGCCTCGATTTCCTCTTCCGTTGGCCATGTTTGCTCTGCATCCATAGGATCGGGTATATTCTCAGCCTGCAGCGATGTTTGTTTCGCTGGATCGCTGCGATCGAGCAAACGCACCTCAGCCAACTCCCCATCCCGTTTCTTATCTAGTTTATTAGGATCGGGCGGCGCGTCCACTTGCCCAAGCTGAAAGTCACCCAGTCCCGGTATGTGCACCAGACCATTAACATTTAGTGATTGTCCTCGCAAATAGCCGGTAACTTTCAGAGTGCCCATCTCTCCGTTTGGCACATATTCCACCAAATCCCCAAACAAGTTTGGGCGGTTGTTAACGTTGTGCAGCAAGCGCTTTTTCTGTCCGCCAATGCGGCGCATAATATTCAATCCTTCAGCGGCGGTGTCCATCTGCATGACTTTCTCCTCAGGCAGCAGTTTGTCTATAAATTTCTGTGCCGATTGCTTTGCAGCAATGCGACGTTTTGGATTAATAGATTCCAGATCCATTAAGGCTACAACAGGCGTTGGTATGCCTTGAGCTGATATCATATTAAATACACGCTGACCCCAGCGATCGAAAATTTCGTCGTCACCGAAAGCTGCCGACGTCAACATCAGTGTGGTATCGCACACCTTCAGATAGTCCAGAACAATGAGTTCATTGCCACGCCCAACGGGTGGCACTACAAATGCAAAGCGCTGCTTGAAACGTGGTAGATTCATGTAAACAATGCCGCTGGCTGACTTTTCCACAACGATTTCACTGTCGCAGCTCTGGAGTATAGCAATTGCTGAGTTGGCATCAATGTGCTCGTGCATAGGCAGCAAACAAACCAGAAATGGAGCTGTGTTTTGGCCACCTAATTGACGCTTCTGTTGCAGCACCTCATCGCGTTTATTTTTTCGTAGCTGATTCATTTGGTTGCGTCGTTGCTCCTTACGCTGCTGCAGCTTATGCTTATGCGAGATAGCCTTGAGACCAACTTTGCCTAAGGTAAACAAACAAAATTCTAAGGAACATGTTTTGCTGCACTTGTTGAGGAGCTCCTACCTTTGAGGGCATTGTCGATGGCGCCTTTGGAGCGATGACGTCCCGTTTTGTGCGCCTTATTTGTTTGCTTTAACGGGCCAGGCCGATGAAACGCATGATCCGCCATATTTGGCTACTTTATTATTCTAATTCAACAGCCAAATATCTATAATCCTCACGTTGTTTTTTTTCGAAACGAGCTAAGCACATGTGCCCACTGAACTTATCGATTGCGGCCTATCGATAAGTTCGGAATAATGTGGACACACTCAGAAACCAATGCTATTAAATAAATAGCAGTGTTGGAAAACAAACTAAAACAAGCAGAATTGCGCGCGTTTTTGAATTAAAACACTTTACCAGTTCTTTTAAACCACATTCAATGTAAATATGTATTTGTTGTTATGGTATATTTGTAGTACATTACATATGTATGCATGCATGCAAGCTTCTTGCTTAAAGATAACGCTGTTTATTTGTATGTAGTTTACTTTCTTTTATATGATATAAAGTTTGCGTTGGTATTCCGAATGCATCCGTAGTTGAGTAGTTGTAGTGATTAATTGCATATATGTATTGCATATAGAACATGCCAAACTTTACATTAAGGTTTAGCTAACTTAACTGCATAGAGTATTAGATAGATTAATTTTCTCTTATTTTCTTCATTGGTGTAAATAATTTAAAATAGTTGTAGTTATTAACCATTAAAGTTCTTCTTTTCTTTCGATTTCATTTAGGTGTGAGGTTTTTAAAACTTAACGGTAGACATAACACTTAACGTTACATAATAAAACAGAAGTCTCAATAAATACAATTAATAGTTTTCGTTAAGGTAAATTGAGTGATTGTTTCTCATTAATTGGGTTTGGTTCAATCTAGATTGGTTGCTTCTGGGCAATGCCTTTATATTATAAGTGTATAAGCTGTCGCCTATATTTAAATTTGTGTGGCAAATGCTCGGTTCACACATATTGTGTGGCCACTAACAGCGCGATTATGATAAATACGAATTAGAAAGCCGGATTTGTCAACGACGTGCTGGACAAATATCAATGATGCATGATTTTGCTGCACTTTGCGCCTGCAAGGACTCTCTATTGTCCTTGCCAAAAAAATAAAGTATGTACTTGTATATAGATATATATGTATATGTATTCATGTATATATTATCCATTATTTATGCTATCAAATGCCCACTTTTACAATCCCGATCTCCCCATTCGTATCCTCCTCATATACCAATTTACATACAAACACTATCCCGCTAGGTGCTTCTCAAATGCTTGCCTCATGCGTGCTCTCTGAATAACCAATTCTTCCTTTTTTTGTTGTCGGTTTGGCATTATTCATTCATTTCTTTTTTTTTTTTTTTTGTTTTCAAAGTTTTTCATTTTGTACAAATTTGCGCTTTGTTTTGTGAGCTCTTTTTTGTTGGTTTTGTGCAAAGTTTTCATTGTGCTGGAACAGAAACAATTTACATGTTCCTGCATTGAGCACAAACAGACCGAGCCTTTGTATTGTCACGCACAAAATCATGCACATTGAATTTTCCATCATCGCCATGCTCGTAGCCGCGGCTCTTCAGCTGTCTGTGGACAGGAAAGTGGAGAGAATCAAAGTCAGGTATTAGTTTTTGGCTATCGATCAAATGTTTATGATTGAAAAGGAAAGTATGAGAGATAACAAAAGAAAAAGGTTCTTAAATGAATAAAAACTTTCGAATGCGCTAGAAACTCGTGTCGAACTCGCTTGCCAATTTGTTTAGTGGCCTATGTCTCACCTGGCCACCGCTGTGAATGCCAGCTCCACGTTGAGCCCGGTCTTGGCGGACGTCTCCATGAATGGTACATCGTGCTCACGTCCAAGTCGTTCGCCATCCTCTCGCTTCACCTGGCGCTCGCTGCTGCTGCAATCGGCCTTGTTGCCTGTGTGGATCAAGAAGGGGGCAGATGTGGCATGTGGAGTGCGACAAAAGTTGCAAAGTTTAAACTCGTAATTCAATTAAGTGACCAACAGTTGGCAACTCAGCAGCTGCTGCTGCAGCATCAGCAACTGCAACTGCCGCTGCTAAAAGCTGCCTTTAATCAAATCTATTTTATGTTCATCGCTGGCAAACTGAATCTCACCTATTAAAACGATGACAACGTCCTCCTGCGCGTACTCACGTATTTCGCCCAGCCAGGCGCGTATGTTGTCGTAGGTGGTCTTATTGGTCACATCGTACAGCAGCAGCAGCGCTACGAGGGGCATTCACAAAGAAAGTAAGGTCAAATCGCATCGGCAGCCGAAACTGAATTGCAACAGCTGTTGCACTTACCATGAGCATCGCGATAATAAGCGTGGGTTACGCTGCGAAAGCGTTCCTGCCCGGCGGTGTCCCAGATCTGTAGCTTAACGCGCGTGCCATCGACAACGACCACCTTGTTCTGCAATTGAGTTATGCAGCATACGCATTTGTGTTATGTAAAAATAAATTGTTATTGCCATGAAAACGCCATTGTTATGCGAAATGCAATTAATTTACGAAATGTGCATGCCAAAGAGAACGCCAAATGTAAGATATATATAGAACTACAAAGAGAGAATGAGAGACGGAGAGAGAAAGAGAGAGGGAGAGAGAGATAGGGGCAGGTAGTCCTGCTGGCAAACGTGTCGTATACTTAATTAAATGGGTTCATGGATGCATTGCGTATACGTAGCGTTGCCCCTGTGGAAATACCTAATTGGAAACATATCGAATACTAAAAGTACATGAATAGAATTACAGTTAACATGCAGATTCAGAATCACTATTGAGTTCAATGTAGAGAGCGAACCAGCACTAATCAGGGGCTACTCAGACAGTCAGTCAACACATAATAAAAGCAAGCAATAAGACAAACATCATCAAGAAATACATATCTCTGTGTGCGTGTGTGTGTATGTGTGTGTGTGTGCTGGAGACTGCCATATTGACTTGCGTTTATTGTATGAAATACATATAAAAAACATATCAAGAAGAAAGAAACAGAAAAAATCGAAAGCAAACGTCAAATTTCTAGCTAAGTAAACAAAAAGTCAATGTACTGAGCCAACATTGAATACAATTTACTGTGAAATTCATTTAGTGGAGCAGAGTGGAAACGGTCTACATAAATAATGAATATTTCAATGATGTATACAAGGCAAAAATAAAATAAAAAGTACATACATACATATCACATAAAGCTGTGGGTATTGCATATCCCCAGGCTTGGCGCGTATTAAATTCACGAGTTCAAAGATTGTGTTTTAAAAAGACTAAACAGTTTCATTTACTACAGAATATTTGCACACATTTGTGCAACAAAGCAAATAATTCAAACAAAAATGTTATTCGTTGCATTAGAAATGAAATTAATTATGTTTTATCTCCATTTCACACAACATTTACTTGCTCTAGTTAATGGAAATTTAAACAGAATTTTACTCAATTTACAACGTTTATTTCTATGCAACCTTCAATCGGTCGCCAAGGCAACAAAATCATTATTGGAACGCATTTGGTATGCCTTTATGAAGGGAATTCGTCGCACAAAAAGTTGAAAGGCAAAAATGGACGCACGTGTCCATACAATGAGCTGGCATTCTTCCAAAGGACAGTTATATGGCTAATGGCAGACATGGCAAATACTTGTAGTATTATTGCGCTTTAATAAATTTATGTGCCATGTGAGCCCTCGGCAATTTTCACGATAATAAAACCTCTAGAAGTTGAAACAAAAACCCCACAATAATAAGCATAATAAAAGCAACAACAGCAACTTAAATACGAGTAACAACAAGTGTACAAGACACACAGACAGACAGGGAGGACACACACACAAGCAAACAGAAACAGACACACAACCATCAACAAGTCCTTTTCAAGTTCATATGCTTTTTAATAAATAGCCCCCGAAGAACTTTTGCCGCAGCAAACGGCAACAGCAACAGCAACGGCAACGGCAACGGCAGCCGGCAACTTGGGGACAAAGGTCCAGAGCTGGGGAATAAGCTGCTGCATGGAGAGGGTACAGTAACGGTAGGGAGAGGAGAGGGACAGCTTGAACACGAGCTAAGCTGGCGGGAAAATATTTTACTAAAGAGAAACGCCACAGCAGCTGCAGAACATGAAAACCACAAAACAAACAGACAAAGCACTGCACACACACATACACAATTATATACACATATATATAAGCAATAACCGACATTTAGATGACCTGTAATATATACAATATGTAGCAGAACACATAACACAGATATAGTTAACTTAGCTGATAAACAACATCGATTATAGGGAATAACACTTAGCAGTGGCTGCTCCATGGAGTAGCATTTTGTTGGGGTTGGACAAACATAGTAAAGGGAAAGGGTATTAAAAGTGGAAGACGAAGTTTGATTAACTTAGGTACACACAGATGAAGAAAAAGTTAATGTGTAAGCAGGTGAAAATCGTATTCAAAGCCTTGACAACTGTTGACAGCGTACAGACAGCGCAGCAGTTGGCAAGCGGAATGGGTGTACAGATGGAGAAAGAGATAGACAGAAATAGAGAGAGAGGGAGAGAGAGAGAGAGAGTGACAGTTAGAGACACACAACAATTAGTTACAACAATAACACAGAGAAAGAGAAAGAGTGAGAGTGAGAGAGAGAAATCGCTTACCCTAAAATCAATGCCAACTGTGCTCAGAAAATAGCTGGGCACATAGCGACCATCGCGAAATCGAATCAAAAGCGACGTTTTGCCCACTCCCGAGTCGCCCAGCATTATGACCTGGCCAACAACAAGCATGTGTGTGTGAGTGTGTGTGTAAATGAAGAAAAATACATTGAACATTATAGAAAGATAATTTATGTGCGCGCTTAACATATGCCAGCCCAACATGATATAGCACCTCATATATGTAGAAAAATATATATTAAATAAGCTTCAAAAGGAAACCCCAAACATAAAATAAAGCAGCAGACAGTCTGGCTGTGCGGCTGCTGTTGATTTAGCTGACTGCTTTCGTCTAAATTGGTTGCTACCCAGCAGCAGCAAGCAATTAAAACTTAACTCGAATGCTATATCAACATGCTGCGCTCGCCAGTCCACGACGCAGAAGCTTAACTTCAGCTTGAAAATGTAAATAAGTCTAGCTTAATAATAAATAATGTGGATTTGTTTAGGGTTGTGTTAGAGTTGTGTCAATGTTAATATAAATATTATATGTAATATTAACATCAATGTTAATTAAAGCTAGGTTAATGGCCATCTTAATGTTAATCTTGGTCTTCAGTTCATTTTCAGAATATATTAACTATTAAAGCTGGCATTAAGGCACAGCTGGCAATATTTTATGACATTAAATGTTTGCTCAAGCGTTCAAATTCATAATTCCACATTCAGCGTCTGTTTTTAACACTGCACAGATATTGAAAACAGCTCAGCTTTTCAATAGAGTTAGCCTGACTGCTGGGAGGAGTTTCATGTAATTGAAAATTGCTTTGCTTTTAAAATAGGCTTTCAGCATTTAATTGACAGCGTCAAGCGTATGTTCTGCTTTAGACCTCAATAAATACAGCAACTAATTTGCGTATTTCACGCAAAGCTTAATCATTTGACGGCCCACACACGCGGCGTATACGCAACGCAATGCATAATTCATAGCTGGCAACTTATGCAAATGTTTGCGCTGAACGAGTACGTTGTTTGCCAGTTTAGCCAAACATCGAGTCTGTTAAAAAGCCAAATATATTAAAAATGCAGCAGCAGTTTTAGTTTTCGCGGATATACTATACAGATTTAACTGGAAATGGTAGTAGAATATTTAACTCATAGTTACGAGCGATTTTCCTTTACAAGAAAATTCTTTTGTTCCATGGAATATTGCTCGCAATCAAAATTGCATTGAGTTGGCCTTTGAGTGCATTTAAGCTGCGCAAAAGTTGTTTGTTACTTTTGTTTTTATTGTTTCAATATTTATTATAGTTATTATTTTATTTTTTATGCCTGCAGCTGGGCGCGCATAAGTCGCAGCCGGTGCCGGAACATTTGTCATAATTCTAGTGAATTGCGCTAATGAAAAGCATAAAGCATAACGACTTTTGCAGCGCAATAGCCGCCATTTATTGTATTGCTGCTGACAGACAGGACAACAGGCTGAAGGACACGCGAGCGCCAACATGTTGAAGAGGAAATTAAAAATTTAGTTAGTGCTGAGCGTATGCTCTTCGAGCCATTGTTGTCTTTGCAGGAGCCAACAAAGTCTATTGTTTAATTTCCTTCTTTTATACAATTTGATGACTTTATTTTCGAGCTGCTTATGTAAATCACATTGTAAATCAGGAATGCCATAAAATGTCCCAAATAAGGCGACTGCAAATAAAACAGGGCGAACTCGTTAAAGTCGCAGGATTCACTCAGGCAAACAGACAAACAGACGGACAGACTGACTGACAGGCAGACAGATAATCAGTCACAGAGAGAGCAGCACGTAAATCAATTTTCGGCTCAGGTCTTGATAAAGAGCCTTGCCTGCGATTTGGCAGCCTGTTTAGCCGCTTATAAATACTTATAAATTTTTGGAATCTCCTTTGTTGTCGTCCTTTTTGTAATGCAAATTGTCAAAGTCAACAGGATTTTGGCTGTGCACACTTAAATTTCATGTCAGCTCCCAGGGAACGTGTTGTTAGTTAGTGTATTTGTGTTTGTCTCTTTGTCACCTTGCCCATGATATCGAAATCCTCGTCCTCGTCCTGCCCAGGTGTTGAGGAAATCATGCGTATGAGCGCGCGTCCAGCTGATTTGCAGAGCGTGGCACCGGCGCCATCGTTGCCAGATACAGCAGTAGCAGCACCACCTTCTGTACCGCCACCAGGGCCGACGCCTCCACCTCCACCTCCACCTCCGCCTGCGCCCACGCCTCCAGTATCCAAGAGCGGCTGCTGCTCAGCAGCTGCGTTGATTCGCATGCTGCTTAGAAATCTGCTGCTGAAACCATTTCCACTCGACGGCTGTTGAGCCTGTGACGAGGACTGCTGCTGGAGATGATCGCGATAGAGTTGCGATGGACTCATGTATTCGGGTAGCAGCGGCTGCTGGGACAGCGACTGCTGGCGCTGATGCACAATGACGCTGGGCCGACGCTTGGGATAGCCATCGTCATCCGAATCATCCGAGGCAATGCCATTGATCTTGTCCAGCGTCTTGGGTGGCAGCTGGCCGGGCGTAATGTGCTGCCAGGTGGGCTTCACCAGCGACTCGCGACGCGTGGGCGAGGCGTTGCTCACACTTGTGACCAGCGACGCCTTACGAGTTGCTCCAGTGCTGGTGCCAGCGATTGAATCGCTGCGATACCGCGTTTGCTGACGTCGCATCTTTGAAACCGCTAAAATATGCCGCTATCAATCCGTAAGACAATCAATCGTCTGCTGTGTAAAG